GAATGGCAACAACCTAGCAATCAGATAGAAGTGTGCACACCTGGTGTGGCCCATAAGGTAGTTGTGGCATGGCAATATTTGCAGAGTCCAAAACCTGTTTAATCTTAATATACCTGTATATACTGTGTGTATGGGGAGCAGAATCATGTTCCTCTTCCACTGACATCTTGGCATACCTGCCTTGCCCCCAGGCCCATCTTAGGTCTACATACTGTATGTAATTCTGTTTAACCATACTCTGCATATGTACATTACAGATTCAAACTGCCTGGCCAACGTGCAGATAACAATACTTGGGTTCACATGATCAGGGAAGGAAAAGAAGCCACTGTGACTTCCTTTTTGTGAGAGAAGGAAAATTACTGTTACTAAGCAGAAGAATGATGGATTACTAAAGACCAGAGCAAAAGACCCTTATAAGGTCAAAGGCCAGAGTAAGGAGCTGTATAAAGAGATTTTGTAAATAGGAAGTAGAAGTAAGTGGACAGGTTTGAATTAGTTACTAAAGTAAGCAAACAAAGGTGAATTAATATGTAGTATAACTATGTTTGAGCACAAGAATAATAATATTTCTCACATCAAAGTTCTGAAGAAAAGAAGGGGAGAATTGTAGGGAATGGTGAAACTATTGCTTTTGCAGAAGATAGCAGGTAATTGTCTCTTGGCAGCTGGCTAAAAAGATAATTGGCTTGGAAGAAAGTTGGTTATTCCCTATCTCATCCTCCCAATAGTTTTAGGACTGATGTAAGGTCAAAATGAACTAGTGAACTCCTAGGAAGTAGTGCACACGTTTAATAGGCTTATGAATAATAACTGACACACCTCTCATAGGTAATGGACTTATTAGCATGAACATGGGATGCATGAGCTGGTGGGGGAACATACCAAGGATTAGTATGATAGAGATGGACAGAGAAGACTGTGACCTCTTAGTAACCCAGTCAATGGGCGAAAAGAGGCAGGGCCTGCAAATTGGGGAAAGAGAATAAAAGGCAATGTCTTTTGTCAAACCGCCCCGCCACCTGTGAGGTGGGTGCCTGCTCTTGCAAGAACATAGTAAACTAGTGCTACTTGGTACTTTGTCTCCTGTGTCGTTATTCCTTGGAACCTGATTCCGTTCCTAACACTTTTCCCACCATGCATGTGTTGCCTCATTTCCCTAAGTACCTAAGTTGTATGTGAGTTTCTGTGCCATTTAAGCCCACAGAGGGTGGTTTCTAAATCAGCTCAGAACTCTAGAGCATGGGTCCTCAAACTACGGCCCAGGGGCCAGATGCGGCCTGCCATGCCGATCTGGACCCACCGCGCACGTGCCCTCACCCACACGCACGCACACATGCCACTGCCCACCTCGCCCCACGCATGGGGAGGCGGTGGTTTGCTCGCTCAGAGAAAACAATCTCCAAGCAAGCAAGCTGCTGCCTTGTGCACCCGCCTCATGGCACATGCCTATACCCACCTTGCCTGACCTCCCCTTTCTGCGTGCACCTGCCCGCACCTTGCCTCACGCCCGCCTCAGTGTGCGCGCCCGCACGCGCTGCCCCTGCTCCCTCGCTGGCCTGCACTCACAGCTGGCACCACCTTTCCAGCCTGTGCCTAGCACCTGCACCTTTCAACTGGCCCCCTGGTGAAAAAGTTTGAGGACCCCTGCTCTAGAGCATGTGAGAGCTTGGGGGTGGTGGGGGAGACACCATGGCTTCTTTTCCTTCCCTGGTGCAAACCCAGTCAATATGTTCTTCAGGGTAGGACAGAAATGTTGATGCCCAATGTGAGGGAAGAGTTGCTGTTAGTCCACACCACTCCTCAGTGGGTACATTCTGTCCCTGTTAACTTTTGGGTGAACAGGGTGAGAAGCTAAATATGTCAATTCATTTGCCAATAACGAAAGTGTGCTTATTTATGACCGCATCTTTGCATTATCGGCTATCTGTATTGTATGTAGAATCCATATTATACTCTTTCATTAAAATTATCTACACATGTCTGAGCCAAAACACCTCAGTGAAGACAGCCCACAGAATGTAACTGGAAGGATTATTATTTGATATTCAAGTTATGATTAGAGCTCTCTTGTCTCCACTTGAAGCGTAAACGATACTGTGAGACCAGTTTCTTTTCACTGATCCTATTCAGGCAGCTTTGTGAAAACTCTGGACCAACAGAAAGATGGACAAGCGTCCTATATCAGATCAAACCAGAACTTGCTCTGGAGGTAAAAATTATGAACCTGAAGCTGTTGTACCCTGAGGACTTCATGAGAGGGCAAGTCTCACTGAAACATAATGCTAGGAAAAGTCAAAGACATTAGAATAGAGAGACCAACTATTAAATGGATCAATTCCATAAAGGAAACCATAGCCTTGAGTTATAAGAGCTGAACAAATCTGTCAAGGACAGCATAACCCTAGCAAAGCTTTTTCCATGAAATCATGGGTAGAAGGGGCAAATTAGTCAGTCAGTCCAGCCAGGAACAGAAGTGAGTCCAAAGGATGTTGAAGGCCTAGGAACAGAAACGAGTCCAAAGGATGTTGAAGGCCTGTAGTGTTGGATTGACTGACTGAGATTGTCTCTAACTTTACAGGTATATGTGGGTCCCAAATTAGTAATCTCCTTGATAGGCACTATTATTAGAGATGTTATTAAAAAGGAGATACTTTGTTATAAAAGAGTAAATAAACAAATAAATGCTCTAAAGCCTACAGGCCTAAATTTGTTTTTTATTTAAAATATTGTTAAATAGGAGTGATGCATATGTTGTTCTCTTATGTAATAAGTAAAACTACTCAACTCAGTCAGGAGGAGGAGTGCACTGGAGGTGGCAGTGGAAAAAAGGGGGAACTCTGCACCATGGTCATATGGCTGCCAGCAGATAGCAGCTATTCCTGTGTGATAATTGTTGTAACCCCCCTCATGATCAGGCATGATCATACACGTAGCCAGGGCACAGCTCATCACGAGTTAGAAGCATGGTCAGAGTGTTCTTGTTCTCATGAAGAACAAGAACACGAACACGGATGTGCACGCTATGCTAAGCTGATAACAAAGCAGGCTTCGCTCCAGCATTACTAGTATCGCCGCAGACATTATGCCCTTGTACCCACGCTTGCTTGCTTTTGCATGATAAATGGGCAAAATGTGCTCTCCCCTATTGTTTCTCTGTTGTCCCCCCATTGTTTTCTGTTGTTCCCCTATTGTTCGCTGTTATTCAAGCATAAGTGTAAAAGAGTATAAAAATCAAATGTCTCCCCTCTGCCTGCTACCACACTCTCACGAGTGCATGGTCCCTGCCGGCAGGTAAAAATAAATCTCTCTCGATAATTCCAACCAGTCTCTGGTCTCGTCCGTAAAATCTCGCCTACAACAATAATCTCTTCATTAAAAGGGCTCGCCAGTTAGTGTTTCCTTCAGTTCATGCTAAAAAGTTTTTAAAAATCACTTGCCAACCATAGCTAAAGCTTCTTAAAGAAAAGATCGTTATCACAGGACTTCTTGGACAATTAGTATGCAATCTTGCCCACACTTTGTATTTGCTTCATGAATATTAGTATCAGAATGTTCAAACTCCCTTATTTACCAAAGTTTGTTCCACCAAGCCTACACAGATTTTCTATAAGAAGAAAATTGGATTCTGTAAAACATTTTGTATATGGGTTGAACTGCTTCAGAAAGAATATTGAAATAACAGCAAGAAAGCAACTAATGAAACTGGTGCAGACTGCAGCAGCCAGATTAATAACCAGGTCTTATAGGTCCAAACTTATAAGACTAGTTGAATTTAGTGTTTGGTGCTTTACTCTTTTCATTCTAAACTTAATTTGATTTGTTTTACGATATTGTTAGTTTGCAGACCAGTAGACCAGATTGAAGCAAGCATAAATTGGTTGCATGAACTATTAACCCTGCAGTTGATCATCTAAACACTTATTTACTGCACTTCTAAAACCATCGAGGAGGCAGTTCTTTCTCATCTCAGAAGAATTCCACAAAGCCACCCACCACTAAAAAGCCATGTTCCTTATGGATGTTACCTTACTTTTCCTGGCGATAGTACCATCTGCTAAAGAGCTTCACTTGCTGATATTGGTCCAAGGGTGAGCATTACATATGGAAGCATGTCTCAAACATTCTGGTTCCTTGCTGTAGGAAAAGGAAAGGGTTCCAAGTGGCTTGAGACACCTCCCACACCAATGTATATGTTTTACAGGCACCATCTCCATCAGCTGAACCTGTATCAACCCTCCCTAATCAGGCAATCCTGTTTTGCAGCCTCAAGATGGAAGACAGTTTGAGCAATGCTCTGATATGCAGCTAGACACATTTTGAAACAAACACATACACACACTAATATCTTGTCTAGTTGAGAACGCAAAGTTTCTTTTTTTAATACTGTTTTCCATTAGAAAAAAGCTGGGAGATGCTCGCGCACTGGGAATGGGAGGGGCTGCATGGGGGGGGTTGTGTGTAGTTGTAAATCATGCTTAGAATATAGTGTATACGAGTGCGCCTGTCTTACACCCACTTTCCTCAATGTTAGCCCAATTAGGTTCTCTCCTTTGTAGTTTTCTAGAAATAATAGTTATGACAGCAAGCAGGCCTCCCTGTAATTCGGGCATAGGGTTTGACGGTGGCCTCTTTTAAAAGCTTCGCGTTATAGGGTCCCAAAACCATGGTTATGCAGTGACTAAATAATGGTGCTCCCTCCTCACTTTTCAGTGCACCTTTAGAAGGGCGATGCGGGAATTCTGATCTGTGCTGAAGGCTGCAAACAGAAAATCGGGAGCACCAGTAGTGCAAAGATATTCTAAGTTTAGTGCACGCGGTTGGAGTAAGGATGCGGGAGCAGACGAACGAGCGGACTCCAAACCCGGCAATCTGCATCGTAAGCCGTACCCCTTCGTTACAGCGCCGCCTGATCCGGATGGAGCTTCAATATAATGCAGTTACTGTGTTTGTTCTGCACGGCGCAGGAATTTAGGCTCGGGGAGAAGACAAGCAGCGCTGCCTGCAGGAGCTTTCCCCAACGCGCAGGGGAAACGTCATGCGCTTTTTCGCATGCCCCGGAACAAACTCGGTTGCTCGCAGGCTACCGAGAGAGAGAAAGAGAGACCGCCCCTTCCCTCTCCTCCATCCCTGGCCTTTAGGCCGTGGAACAAGCTGGGTGAGTGTGCTGCGAAGTTGGCTGTGAGGGAGACGTGCCTGCGCCTCAGTGGCCGCCGCCCATTCGTCGTTTCTCTTTGCAAGGGGACATCTGATGTTGGTAAGTGTTTTCGGCCTGCGCCTTTGCAGATGTACTGGGAAAGCCCAGGTGGATTGCAAATTCTGAGGAGGAAGGCAATGCGTTACGGCGTCCTCTCTACGCTAGGAAGTTGCCTCCCCTCTCCTTTCGGCGATCGCCAGCCCCGCCGTGACTCAATAAGCCCATTGAAACCAAGGACCCGCTTTCCCAATTTCTCTAACCATCTACAAGGTGGGGAGAGGAGACTCATTTTCGCCTCCTCCCTGTTTGAGTGTTTTAGGTGTCACTTAGCATGTTTCTTTGTATGGCTTACAATACAGAGCAGGAGTGGCCATCTCCAGTTCAAAATGTGGCCAAGGAAAGTTTGAGTTTCAGATTTGGGAGCCAGGGATTCCTGAGCAACGCCTTCCACGTTTTCTGCTGGTGTGGGTGTATTTTAAAAACTTAGCCTAACAGGTCTGATACAAAGGAAGGCGTATATTTTGTATTGTACGAACTTTACCGTGTAGCTATTCTAAAGGGTATAAACCTACCTATGTTTCGCTAGTGAGAAAGTCCTACAACTCCCAGCATGCCCGCACCGGTCATTCTGGCTGGAGCATGTTGGGAGTTGTAGGACTTAATTGATTAAAGAGGCAGAAGGTTACTTCTTAAATTATATTACATTAAATGTAATTATATTAACTTATATAAGGTTACTCCTTAAATTATTTCCTTCACAGCTCTGTAACTAGGCGAAAAGTTGTATTATATACAGTAGTTTATTCTGGAAGAAAAATAACGCTGTGGAGTGAATATTTGCACCTTCCCTTTTGTGCACTGGGGAACCCAAGTTTCACAGGAAGTTCATGTGTGCACGCATGCATTTTGCTGTGTATGTTGTGTTCATTTATGAGGGAAAAACCTCCACCGTCTGCCCACTCTGTCTCACATAGGAACATTAACACATAGGAGACCTTAAGTTCCCACAACTAAAGAGACAGAATCTGACTAATGGAAGAACCCACCTTACTACTTTACATAATGAAAAGGATACGTATTGAAGTATTTTAATAATAAAAAGAAAGTATGTAATAGAGAAGTTTTTGTAATTCTGATTACGTTGTTTTTTTGTGGAAGAGTGCTGGTAAATTATTACACGCATACAATAAGGGCTGAGATTTTCTATCATACTTAATATTTTCAGCTCTCTTTCAAGTCCTTAATTTTCTACCTTTGCCTGCCCAAGCAGGGAGATGGAAGCTGCTATTGAAGTACCTCGTGAAAGAGAGTTGGCACAATTTTCTCGCTAAGAAGAACTTGATGATCAGGCAAAAATAACTAAAATACTTAGCATGCAAGTATGGAAACATTGTCAAAATGATCAGAACAGGAGTAAAAACAATTATCTCCCAGAAATTAAAGTTTATTCTATGGTTAAACTGTTATGCATTTTTCTATAATACACTGTGGGTGAAAATTCTGCACATGGAAATGAGTTGTCAAAGATGAGGTTTAATGTGACCATCTCTTTCATGTGTCAGGGTTCTGTAAGGGTGCAATCATATACATATTTTGACAGAAGAAAGGTCCTAAAGATCTCAGCATTCCTCAACCAGCCATGCTGGTTGGAAAATACAGGGAATTATAGGACTTTTTTTTCTTTTAAACATGGATTGGATCACAGCCTAGGGCATCTTGTGGTGGGGGGGGGCATCAGTGTCAGTCGTGACATTTCCCATCATATAGTTGGGAGGGGTGCAACCCCAAAACAGTGCAAATTGTTTTCCTAAGCCAGTCATACAGTTTCAGTGGTACCTGTCTGCCCAATAATACTGTCAGAGGAAAATAATAATTAGACTGATATAGAAGAGACTAATTGATAATACAGAACTGGAAAAGTCTGGTTTTATAATCTTGTTGGATTATTATGCTTTCTTGGTTTTTATCTAACCTTTCTTGAAGAGTTTACTAGCAGAACATTAGAAGTACAAATAGATTAACAACACTATTACTGCTGGCTTCTTTTTTTCTTGTATCATTTTAAGAGTACTACATCTATATATTCCATTATTGTAATATGCCTGAATCAATGGCTGGGATCTAAAGGGCCAAGTGAAGCTTCTGGAGGCCTTGCTTTCAAAAACCTGGCCTAGTCCCCCCTCTAGAATGCAAATAAACTCCTCGAATGGCCTGCAATGCCAGAAATAGGGTTTCTGATAAAAGCAGAAGGCATACACTATGAAGCTGCAGTTTGCCTGTGGCAGTATCTGCGAATGCTTTGTCATGATGACATTCACTCTTCCATTAAGAACATCCACACTGGATCAGACAAGGGTCCATCTAATCCAGTATTCCATTCACACAGTGACTGACCATTTGCCCACAGGAATACACATGGAGGATGTGAGTGCAACACCAGCCTCCTGCTAGCGTCCCCAAGCAGTGTATAGATGTATTGCTGCTGTTATGTGCTGTCAAGTTGTTTCCAACTTATGGCAACCCTATGAATGAATGCTCCAAAATGTTCTATCCATGGCAGCCCTGTTCAGCTCTTGTAAATTCTAGGCTGTGGCTTCCTTTATTGAGTCAAAGCATTTTATATTTAGTGTTCCTTTTCTTCTGCCTGTGACTTTCTATAGCATGATTGTCTTCTCCAGTGGGCTTTGCCTTCTCATGATGTGCCTGAAGAATGACAGCCTCAGCTTTGTCATGTTTGCTTCTAGGGAAAGCTCTGGATTTATTTGATCTAGGACCCACTAGATCAAGCTCTAATACTAGAAGTAGCATATAATCATGAGAACCAGTAGATGTTAATAGCCTTCTCCATCCATTTGTACATTCCTCTTTTTAAAGACCTCCAAATTGGTGGCCACCACTGCATCTAGTGGAACTGAACTCCATAGTATAACTATTCTCTGTGATAAGAACTTCCTCCTATGTGTCCTGAATTTCCCAGCTTTATGGGATAACCATATTGGCTTTTGGTATTATGGGAGAGGGAGAAAAATGTTTTGCTATTCACTGCTCCATACCGTGCATAACCTTGTGTAACTGAGAGAGTTGTCATCCTGGTGCTCAGCAGGTCTGAAGCACTGTCAAGAATTTTCCACGATTGCTGTGAAGGGAAAACAGATTCCTTTGAACCTTAATAACTTAATAGCACAAACTTATCCATATCCCTGCAGAAATTTGTCTAGATTAAATAGATTTAAATAGATTAAAACTTGCAATCTTGTGAAACTAAACAAGAGCATGAATACCTGAGCAGTCTCATGCAACATGGTGCCTTTGATTTTCTCCCCTTTAAATAAATATTTTATTTATTTATTTATTTATTTATTTGGATGAAGGGAAATTTCATTATTCTGCAGGGCACTACCTAACTGTCTAAAAGTATGGGAATCTCATTATGGTATTGTGTCATCCCCTTGTTTTTTCAGGATGTTATTTTCATCTAGGTGCTTTCAAAATGGAGGCAATAAAAATGGATAATGTATTCCTGAAGCGTCCTCATTCTAAAGCTGATGAAGGTAACATGGATGAAATTAAAAGGCAAAAGGTCTTGGAAGAACCACTGAAAGGAAGAAAGAATTCTGACTGTAAGGCTGAAGCTGAGGTGGAGCAGCCTCTGAAAAACCGGCTTGAAGAACCAAATAAGGCAAATGTTCTGAATGTGGAAAGTGTAGATCAACATGATGAGGAAGAAATGGAAGAAAGTGATGGAGAAGGAGACACAGAGAGCTTTGCAGATATGATGAAACATGGGCTGACTGAGCTAGATGTTGGCATAACAAAATTTGTTAGTTCTCACAAAGGTTTTTCTGGAATATTAAAAGAAAGGTAACTACTAACATCTTTTCAACCCTGTGAATTGACTTGATGCTGTAAATGGTGCTAGTTCAGCCAAAACTTACTACTGTGCCTCAGAAGAGGTGCAGAATTAGCTAACTTTGATTTGCTTTCCATCTTTCATGTGTAGTTTGAATCTAACAATTTACTATTGGAAATGAGGGCCAAAATGGTAATTATTTAACTCCATATCTAGTATTTTCATTTTTTCATTAAGGTAACAGCAGGACCCCTGATCTGGTGCTAAAAGTTCCACTGATTTTGATGGGATTTGATTCCAGAGAAGGATGACAGATCCATCTGCTTCATTCTTGCCTCTCGCATGAAACTTTTAGCTAAATCCCTTATTTGGTGGGGGTGGAGCGTGTGGCCCTCCAGAAGTTCCACTTAACTAATGGTGAGGGATGGTGAATGTTGCAGTCCAGCTGTTGGAGGGTAACATTTTATAAGACTGCAGTCCTGTGATATCATTTCGTTTCTATACTGCCCTCTAGCCAAAGCATTCTTGGCAGTTTTTAAATACATTAAAAAACACATACAAATGTACAGACAGACAGCACATGGGGAAACACACGCATATCTCAAAACTGTTTCATTTACTATATTTTATTCCCATTTCTACACAATTCTATTCTCTTTCATTCACCTGAGGTTCAGGCCCATTATGTTTTGTAGGATTACATTGCACAACTTGTCGGGCTGTTCTAGATGTACCACTGGCTCCTTGTGAATTGGGAACCGTTCTTATGAGAGTTTGTGGCTCTCCATTCTTCCCTCTTTCCTTTCTGCAGCAATTCATAGAATAGTAGCACTGGAAGGTGCTGGAGGGCCATTGAGTCTAACCCCCTTCTCAGTGCAGGACTCAGAAGTTAAACCATCCCTCTCCGATGGCTGTCTTGTTGCATCTTGGATGCCTCTAGTGTGGGAGAGCCCACAACCTCCCTAGGTCATTGGTTTCATTGTTGTACTGCTCTTAACAGTCAGGAAATTTTTCTGATACCTAGCTGGAATCGCATTCAGCAGCTTGAGCCCATTATTCTGTGTCCCACAGTCTGGGATGATCAAGAAGAGGTCCTGTCCTTCCTCTTTGTGACAGCCTTTCAAATATTTGTAGAGTGCTATCATTTCATCCCTCAGTCTTCTCTTTTCAAGGCTGAACATGCCCAGTTCTCTCAATATCTCCTCACGGGACTTTGTTTCCAGTCCATGGACCATCTTTGTTTCCCACCTTTGAACCCTTTCCAGTTTGTCCGTATCTTTCTTAATCTGTGGTGCCTCAAACTGGACACAGTACTCCAGATAAGGCCTAACCATTGCTGCATAAAGGGGAACTAGTACTTGACATGATTTGGAAAGGAAACTTCTGTCATTGCAGCCTAAAATGGCATTTGCCCTTTTTGCAGCCACATCACATTGTTGACTCATATTCAGCTTGTGATCTACAACAATTCCAAAATGCTTCTCACCTACAGTATTGTTGATCCAATTATTTCCCATTGTGTAACAATGCATTTTGGTTTCCTTCTTTTTCTTTCCTTTACAGCAGAAGATGCTGTATGAAAATGATACATTTATAAATGTGTACATTTCATTTATAAAGCAAAGTTTGAAATCTTGGCTTTAGAATACTTCACGAGGTGTAGTTATAAATGATGCTCATTATTCGTTCTTTGTACTGAAGCATGTCTAAGGAGTAAGGTGGGGCAGGGGAAATAACTGAGAGCCACTGTGGTGGGGTGATCCAGCTTCAAGTCTCTGGTCAGCCGTGAAGCGCACTGGGTGCCTTTGGGTCAGCCACTGACTCTCAGCTTAAACTATGCTGAGAATAAAAATGCAGATGAGGACCATGTGAGTCAAACTGAGTTCCTTGCAAGAGTAGAAATGTAAACATATAAATATTTTTTATCATTTGATGATGATGATTAAGAAAGAGAATGAGGAGCTTCCAATTTGTGAATCTTACTGTGTAAAGAGTTCATAAAGTAGAAATCTCTTTTTAGATATGCTGTTCAACTCTCTATTGACTCACTTGCCTTGTTTTCTACTAGATATTCAGATTTTGTTGTTCATGAAATAGGAAAAGATGGACATACTATTCATTTAGATGACTTCTCTGTGCCAGTGGATGATGAGGTAAGCCTTTTGTGCGCAGTTTCCTTAACTGAGTAAAAGGTTATAATTAATGGTTTCATACAGATTTAGACTGACTTTTTTGCTATGTTTTAATATGCCTCCTAGGATCCTCCTGAAGAAAACTTTATGGTTCTGTCAGCTGAAGACAAACAGCACTTAGAAGAACTCCAGCTGTTTAAAAATAAAGAAGGCAGTGTTTCCATTGAGGTAATTTGACAGAATAATATCAGGAATGAATAACTAAATCAATTTAGTGCAAAAATGATTTAACTGGACCAATAGATTTTGGAAAGTGTATTCATAGGAAATTGACTAAATTGCACTTGGCTGAGGTTTAGTAGAGATGGAAGGCTTATGTTGGAGCAGTATTTGAACCATTTCTCCCCAAACTGTAAAACTCTCTGTATTAGTCACTAGTAGATAATATTTGTTATCAATAAAATTGCACATAGGCATAGGTTCTATGTCCTTGGAAATATGCCCTTCTGCTAGCTTAAATGCAAGTTTGAGTATTACATTTGTTTGGCTCTCCCAGCTATTTTCACTGTGTAAATAGGATTAAACTATTACCTGTACTGTTAGAAGAGTAATGCATTAGCAGAAAAAAACTTTAATTTGATTTTCCACTTTAAAGAAAAAGTATGTGGTGTAGAGGAAGTGGTTGTTTTCCCAGATTTAATTGTGAATGCAATTGTGAATGAATTGTGATTTGGGGCATACATCTGTATGGGGACTGTACCACTACAGATTGCAGAGATGGACATAAGAAGTCCTCTGTATGTAGCAAATCAGCATGTCAGGAAGAAGGACTCTAGGATAGCTTCCTCCTTAATATAATGCTTTTAATGTGTAAGGATTTTTTTTCATAGAAGAGTGTTCAGTTGTGAGCCCCAGCTGCAGTGTAAAGTGTTACAGCCCCAAAATAGGTACACAGCCTCACCTGCTGTTTGTGAAAATTAGGCCTTGAACTACATTAAGATACCTGTGATAGCGGAGAAGACAGTTTTCCCATTTAAGGAACTTACCTTGCTCATAACTTAACCATAAGTTGTTTCTCCAGCAAATAAGCATTTAGACTGGAGAAAGCCAGCTGCTAGACTGATACCTTAAACATGATATCATACTGGTTTGCCAGAGATGATACATTGGCAATTGTATATATCAGTGCCTCTTAGAATGGGTTTAATATATGAATAATAAATATATAATGTTAGTATTTTTGTAAAAGGCTAAATAGAGTATCACTTACTAAAATGTCATTTATATTATTCATGTACTTCTACCACTTTTTAATTGTTAGAATTGCAGATGTAAAAATCTAAAACCGTAAATGCCTCACATCACTTCCAGTACTTGATTTTTCAAACCAGACTACCATAGGCAATACTGGAATCTGGAGGTTTGCTGCATGATATATACCTGTATTGCAAGTGCTTCCATGAGACTTTTTCTCAATTTTTCTGGCTGTGTATTTGAAGCTCACCCTCTTATGGGTAGCACTAAGAAGACATGAATGGCCATGAATCCTGAAGAAACATGTTGGTGTGCTTTTTTTTTTAAGTGGGGGAACCATATCAAAATCTGCTTGCCAGAGGCTTATTATTGGATAGTGCTTTTGCTCCCCTGTCCAATAGATGCACAAGAATGCAGCTGACTTCACCTTGGCTTTGCTTCAAAATTTCTGCATCTAATTTTCAAGCACAAAAGGTATCTTAGACAGTGTAAGATAAACTGATTATCAAAATATTTTTTCTCTATGCTGCTGTTTAGGTCATAGAAGACACAAAAGAAAAAAGAACAGTTATACACCAGGCTATAAAATCTTTGTTTCCAGGGTTAGAGACTAAAACAGAGGATCGGGATGGAAAAAAATACATCATTGCTTACCATGCAGCAGGGAAAAAGGCACTTGCAAGTGAGTGTGACTTTTGCTGCTCTTTGAAATCTGTACAAAGCTGCTCTGTAGTGGAAGTGACAGGAAAATCTGTCTGAGTCTTCAAAGCCAGTGTCAGCTAGGTATTGAATGGGAAGGACAGCTTTGTTAGTTTAAATATTATTGGTCTCTGGGAAGTTTTGGAAGTGTCATTAAAATCCCTGCATGCTTTATCTTACACAGTGTACACAGCCAGTGTAATCCTGTATTCAGAAAGTTCTTGAAGGAATTGCCGTGTTATAGCAGATCTGTTATGTCGTGAGATAAGATGAAGATTTAATGTAAATTTGTGGAAAAAATTAAAAACATTGTGGAGGGATTACATGATCAGCCTATGCTGCTAGAACATTGCTCACTAATTTGAATGATGGAGTTGTATGACAGTACAATCTATAGAAATCTAATGCAGAGTCCCTTTCAGTGAGGCTTATTTCAAGGCAAATGAACGTAAGAACTTAAGAAAAGCCATGCTGGATCAGACCAAAGGGACTCTAGTCCAGCACTCCCATGTTCATGGAGGCAAACCAGCTACTCACAGGACTGCTCAATCAGGATGGGTACAAGAACTCTACCTATCCAAACTCTTCAGCAACTGGTATATGCACGGATGCCACCTCTAGTAAAGTAGGTTGCAGATAGCCAGCAAGGCTTGTAGCCACTGATAGCCTCCTCCCTTGTGAATTTGTCTAGTCCCCTTTTAAAGCCATCACCACTTCCTGTGGCAGCAAATTCCATAGTTTAACTCTACATTGTATGAAGAAGTACTTCCTTTTATCTGTTCTAAAGCAGCTTCATGGGATGACCCCAGGTTCAAGTGTTATGGGAGAAGGAGGAAAATATCTCTGCATTATTTTAAACACCTTTACCATGTCTCCCCTTATTCACCTTTTTTCTAAGCTAAGCAGTCCCAGTTAAAAGCAGCTACAACAATAAGTATAGAAGTCCAGTCTAAATTGTTCAAATCTGGTAGAGGAATCTGTTGATTTTTTTTTTTAAATGCATTGCTTTAAAAGGTTTACTAGTCGAAAGATGGACATTATTTTTTGGGAGGGCAGAGTCTTCTTAGGACACAATCATATGCATGTTCAGGTGGAAAAACATCCTACAACTCCCATCATTCCTCAGTCAGCCATAGGCTACAATCCAATACAAGCTAACTTAGAATAATTCCAACTAAACATGGGGCCTTTCTACTCCAATAGATATTGGAGACATTTAAACTACAAAAGATTGTCCTTTTTGCCATTTTCAGTGCTGAAAGAATGACAATAGATGTAATTGGATATCTCATTGACAACGCAAGTGTTTACTGACATGTCTAACATTTAATCTATCTCTGGGTATACATGTAAGTCATAGACGTGACTCATCTGTGAGTTTATCTCAGTGGTACCCTGTGTAAGTGTGCCTGTGAGAGTGTCTTCCCATGGCACCTGAACATCTTTAGGTTAAGTATCCTAAACTGCTGAAGTATGAAGTGACCAGAGTCAGTAAGTTGGTAGACATAAATACAGTTGTTCATTTCTGTGGCCCATTATGTCAACATTCTCACCAACTTAAAAGATCACTTTGTGCAGTAGGCTGCAGATTGAAATCTTTAGTCACAAATAGATTTCAGAGGATGATGACTGCAAACACAAGAACATCTGGTACTGGTTCAAAGCACGAAAGTTCATAAGAATCATCTAGATAAGAAATCCATTCACTTGCAGAAAAAGATGAAAGAAACCTTGTCAGACTTGCTTGATTTCTTTCTTTCAAGCATGCAGGTCTAACAGACTGATTACATAAACAATATTTATTATTTAAAACATGTTGGCTCTTTAGCCAAAATAGTTTCCAGAGTGGCTTTCGTAAGCATATAAAAACAAAACATTACCTGTCCACATGCTTACAATCTTAAAGCTATGACTCAGAGGGGAAAAGAGATAGGGAAGGAAGAAAAAAGCCAATTCATGCCCTAATTCTCAAAGTTAGTTTCTCCCAATTGTGCACACTAGAGTACTTGGTGTAGCATCACAGAAATTTTGAGGACTAGGGACAGCAAGTTGCCAAGGTCTGTAAGAGTTTTCTATTTTTCTGTATGCTCTTTGTCTATCTGGAGTGTTTGCATTCTGTACCAGTCTGGAGTGTTCTGATGGTACCTTTCCTGAGGTGGCTCAGGATTTCATGCTCTCCATGATAACCATGGGACTGTTCCAACATGCCATCAGCCACATGCATGTTGATGGACACACTCCAGACCTGTTTCTTTTGACCAGGTATGGGTATACTGATCTGAAGGTGGAGGAGTTTGTTTCAGCACCTTGTCATCGTCAGATCACCACCTACTGAGGTTCAGCTTGATGGTGGCTTTTCCCCTATGCAAAGGTGGGGAACTCATTTGCTGGTTTGCTCCCAGGGGCTAATGGATCCATATGGATTCCTAAGGGCTCCTTGCTGGAGGGAATGGGCTCATGTAGTGAGACAACTCCTGAAGAAAGTCTCTCTGGAAATAAATTAGTAAAGATCTCAGTAACTTGAGGCTGATGGCAAATATTCTCTTCCTGGGCAATCGCTTTGAACAGGTGTGGTGAAACAGCTCCAGGCACTTTTGGATGAGACTGATTATCTGAATCCATTTCACTCAAGATTCAGGCCAGGTTTGGGCATAGAAACAGCTTTGGCTGCCCTATACAATGACCTATGTTGCGGGAGAGACAACAGGAAGGTGACCCTGCTGACACCTCTGGATTTCTTAGTGGTTTTAATTACCACTGACCATAGTATTCTTCTGGGGTGACTGTCTGAGCTAGGATTGGGATGCGGTAGTATTGCAATGCAGTGGTTCCACTCCTGCTTGGATGTTCAGCTGCAGGAGGTGGTGCTTGGAGAATATTGCTTGGCCCTTCAGATTTGCCAACATGGGGGTTCCTCAGTGGTTGATCATCTCTTCTGTGCTTAACATCAGCATACAACCTCTGAGTGAGGTCATGCAAAATTTTGGGCTGCTCTGCCATAGTATGCTGATGACAAGCAGTGTAATTTCTCCATTTTCATCAGGTAAGACTATGGATGTGTTTAGTATCAGCCTGTAACAGTAGACCACATGAGGGCTAATAAACTGAAGCTCAGTCCAGACAAGACTGAGAAGCTACTAGTGGGTGATGCTTCTGACTGGCTGGATGGTGTTTAAGCCTTTCTGGATGGTTGTACTCACCCAAAGAAGCAAGTTCACAGCTAGGGGATCCTCCTTGTACTGTCTTTGTTACTTGAGGCTCCAATGGTATTGCATGTCTTCCGACTTCAGCTCATACCCCATCTAGGCCCATATCAAGACAGACAGCCTGGTTTCAGTAATATACTGAAACCTGATAACCTCCAGGTTAGACTACTGCAAGGGCTGCCCTTGAAGATTGTTCAGATGCTACAGTTTGTGCAAAAAGTGTCAGCTAAATTAAATGAGACCAGAAAGTCTGAATATATAAGACAAATTCTGGCCCACTTATACTGCTTGCCTGTATGCCTCCGAATGCAACTGAAGGTGTTGGTTATAACCCATATACCCCTGGCATGACCTGGTACTCTAATGCCTGTAGAATGCCTCTCCTGACCTGAATCTGCATAGACACTATGATCTAAATGTGAGGCCTTCCTCTGAGGGTCACCTGCAAGTGGGGCTCAGAGGGAGACAACAAGGAAGAGAGTCTTGTCAGTGATGGCCCCACAGTTCTACAATAATCTTTGTATTGATGCCCACCTGGTTCCACCATTCTCAACTTCCTGGTGCCAGGTTAAAACTAAACTCTCAGGCATTCAATGACATACGATAGGACATGTCAGGTCTACTTTTTGTTGGAATTGTTTTAGTTTTTAAAACTACTTTCAACTTTTTATATTGGAATTTTATGATGTATTTTATAGTATTTGCATTTGTATTTATTCTATCTGTATTCTATTCTATCTATTTATGTAGTACATAAATGAAATAAGTAATAGTAATTAAAGCTATAGAAACTGGGTTTGTATGTCAGGACAACCCATCATGTTTAACAAGCCACAGTGAGTTTTTGTATTTTCTGTAGCTAGACTGCATCCCACAAGGTGACTTGTTTGGGGGCAATAAGCTACTGTGATAGCCCATGGCTTCTCCTTGGGGTTGTTCAGCCTGTGATGGTTGAATGCATTGTCCAAACCAAGGAAACTGTTTCCATCATGGGTTCTGAGGATCAGCTAGCAAACTGCTTGGCAAGAACAGCAAAAATACTTTGCCAGTCCTCGTGATCTCACCTTTGCTAATGCCAGTGATGCCTCTATCAATACCTAAGTGGTACTTTTGAGCAACTGTCACTGGTTCTGCAGATTTGAAAAAGGACAATTGGGATCAGTTAAAAAAAGAAAAGCTGACCCCAGAAAATTGCTGAGTTTGTCTTTTTAAAATTTAATTGTCAATCCTTTATAGCCACCCAGATATGCTTATAAATGTCTGATAGATGTGGACTGTGGGTGTACACTTACCTACCTGCAAAAGACCAACAAAATAATTTAAATGATGAGTACCATTGGTCAGTTTTCTGAGACTGAAAAAAATTAAGTAACTTCTTTGACACTTCTAAAAACCAGCAAAGAACAAAAAGGAAATCAGAGCAGGGAGGGGGAGACCAGCCATGCTAGAACATAAAAAGAGCCATGCTGAGGCAGAACAAAGGTCCCTCTAGTCCACCATTCTGTTCACGCAGTGGCCAGCCAGTTGCCCACAAGACCCCACAAGTAAGTTCAAGAACACCATCTCACCCGAGCTTCCTAGTAACTGCTGTACTTTGGGATACGTACTGGAGCTGGGAGAAGGACTGAGAGGAAGATGTGGGAGGACAAGCCATGATGAACCCAGTCATCTGTCAGCTGCCCCATATTGTGAAAAACCTGCACTGTGTAGCTTATTTGCAAGGTAGTTCAGCCTGTTACACATTTGCATTTCAAGTGTTGATAATGACCCATTGGCATGGAAACAAGTGAGAAAGAGGAACTGAGTGATGGACTGGATTTTCAGCAGAGCTGATGGCATGGCCCCACTGTAGCCTGATGGAATTTGTCCACCAAAGAAGAAAGAGAAACAGCCATTTTAATTTGGTGCCAGCCTCTCTGCTTGAATTATCAATTGTTATGTGCACAATTTCACCAATACCTTAGCAGAAAGGAGAGGAGAGAATCCCAATATTGTGTGACCATAAATACAATCAAGATTTTACTCAGTCTAACCTTTTCTGTCTGATCTGGCAGTTTCACTATTCACAATAAAAGGAGTGACTTTTCTTTTTTTCCCTTTACTGGACTGGGTCTTCCATAGTGGTGAACCTGTCATTTTTCCCAGTTTATGCCAAGGTTAACAAAAAAAATGCCGTGGCATGCTCTTTGAGTCCTTAGCTGAAACTTGACCAAGGAAAATCCTGACAATTATGGGCCCACTATATTGGGTTCCCTGAACACCACTTTTTTCTGCTAAGTCATCAACAAGTCAGCAAATAATACTTACCCCCATGTTTGGAAAAAATTATCTGCTGGTTTAACAGCTTGATGCAGGCACAGCTACGGGGACTAGTAAAAGAATGACTGAAGATACGGTGAAAAATGTAATCAGTTTGCACTGAATATATAGATAAAGACATTCCTTGTTTGCATGTGTTGTGCATGGAGCATGCATGTGTACAGATACAAATAAATTTTCAGACCATGCTCTCCATCTTCCCTTGTGCACAACTGTTGGAAAAAACTGCATGTGTTCGCTGTTAATGAAGCTCTAAAACCTCAACTAGTGGTAGTTCAAATATTCATCTGTTTTCCGATATCTATATTGCTACTGAATTAGGATGTATGTGGTTCAATGCATATATACACATTTGTGTGACAGTGATCCAAACTGCACATCAAATTGACAAATGGGAGGTTATCCAACCCATAACTTATGGGGATGTGTGCCTTTGACAAGCTGCTTGCAGCTTCCATAAATCACTTCTGATCAGCGTGAATGGAAGTTGTGAGCATGATGTGCAAACCTGGACTGGTTCATAGTTTAGGGCAGCCTTCCCCAATCTTGTGCATTCCAGACTGCAATACCCAGAATTCCCAGTCAATATCCCTGCTGAATGGGAATTCTGGGAGTTGTGGTCCAAATGCCTCTGAATGCCCCTAGTTGGGGAAATAATGTCACTATTAAGTCATTGTGTGCATTGGATTTACTGCTGAGATGTTTAGCTCTGAAACAACCCTTTAGTCCAGGTTTGCACATCATACTCACAACTGATGATTGGCAGTTTTTACAGAAACCAGAGGCTGCTCACACATGGCACACATCCCACCATTCACTGCTGTGTTGTATGAACTGGCCTTCTGTTACATGGTCAGTGTATTTTGTACTGGGGATGAGGGTGGCGGGAAGGATCCCAACTGCAACAATGGAATCCCAATTAATTAGTCTGTCTTGGTTTTGAACTGAAATTAGAAGGCACGTCTGTTCTAAACACACTGAACACTTAAGAGCCTTTGTTTACTGGTTCTTTGTGTTGCTACCCTCTGTGTAGTTTGTTGCGTGTATAGTTGAACCCTTTCATTTGTTCATTACTCTGCACGATTCCATTGCATAGCTGTTTAAATAGATGTCAGTCACCATATGAACCATTGAATGCTCCAGACATCTATAGCTTATAAACCATAAATTTGCATGTTCCCATCTGAAACACTGATACCTTAAAAATAAATAAGATAAAACATTGCTCTCTTATGCTCTTTATCCTATGCATATGAACAGAGGTCAGAACTACAGCAGGTAAGAGATGTTGGCATTTCATGTTAGGAGAAAATGGAATGCCAATCAAATTTTTAAGAATTCAGACTATCTAAATAGTGAATAAACTAACAAAAATATGTAGAGTTTAGTTTTATCTATATTTACCCAGGAATAAATCCATTCATTAATACTCAGTTCTAAGTAACCCTTCTTTATTTAGCTGATTTAGTTATCAACTAAACAAACGTAAATGATTAGCTGAAGTTTGAGAATTAAGTTAGCGCTAAAATTTGTGCTTGACAAACTTGATTCTTAATCATCATAATCTTAACATATAAAGCCTCTTTGAGATAGAGAGTTCTACATGCCCTGCTTCCACTTTTCCACAAAGCAGCTAAACCAAAGTAATTTGGAATTAAGCAATCTCATTGTGCTTCTTTGCAAATCAGAGTAGTTCATAATTATAACCCTTCTAGCATTTTTCTCAGTGTAAAGTGCCCATCTTTACTCTTGGTACAATGGCAAATAAAAAAGCTGGGAAAAGAGTTCAAAGACCTCAGGATAGATTACCATATAAAATTGCCATGGTTACTGTGAACCACAATTCACATTTGGACCATAGTTTCTTATGGTTTCTGCGCAGTCCTTAACTATGCGTAAATACTCAAAATGTAGGGCTGAGAGAAGAAAGAAAAACTAAGCATTGTGCCTGCACAAAGCCCTCTCTTTCATCACAAGATGAATCACTTTTGTGATTTCATACCTTATAGCCTGGCTTCTATTTTGGGATATTTTATCTGAGAGAGAGAATGGATTAGTTCACCTCAGATACCAAGCCATAATTTGGCACTGTGGGAATAAATGCTGACTTCACACACACACACACACACACCATCTTCCCCTATGTACTCTCTGTTTTATCTAGAATTGACAAAACCAGGAAGAAGCTAATTTAAATGGTGCAGGAGAAGGAGGTAACTAGCCTGTACATCATGGTTTGTTGTTACGTGTGAACCAGCCCGTTGCTTTGCAGAAGGCCATCTAGTGAGCTTAATGATTAATTGGGGATTTGAACCTGATTTCCTAGCATTTAATAGTAGAAACTGCAGTATCTGGCATGAAGAGCAACCATTGCATCAATAATTTATGAACAAGCCCTATGACTATCCAGTAAAATTATTGTTGTTGTTGCTGAGAGGCTTCCTCCTGACTTCACTACGTGTAGACACACAACAATGGTCTTCCTCTTCAAAAAGAGCCATTTTTTGTCCACTGCTGTTTTCTGGGAGAAGAGTTTTGCATCATGGACTGCATGAGATGGACTGTATCATGATGGACTGTAAAAAAATGTTTACAAGTATTTTCTTTCCCTAATTTAAGAAATATTTCTTCACACACACATACACACACTCTTCAGACTGGCCACTGCACAAACTATATTTTGCAAAACATTCAGTACTCAAAAAATACTCACTATTTAAGTTGCAGCCTTTAATATTGTCTGTATTTAACATTTTGTCTTTGAAGATCCAAGAAAACATTCTTGGCCAAAATCCAGGGGAAGCTACTGCCACTTTGTATTATACAAAGAAAACAAGGACACCATGGATGCCATTAATGTGCTATCAAAATTTTTAAGGTATGTTAATTCTTTTCCCCATGGAGAACAGAGTATGAAATTTGAGAAATTAGATTCTAGGAATTGGTAGAAATACCCTGCTTTGAAATGTTTTGAGTAATTTTGCAGCATGTTGAGGGTAGTGTAACTGATCAGTTTTGGAAATAATTTGTGAACTATGCATAAAAGTTTGTAGCCTTTTAACACAGAAGATTGTTGATTGTGGGAGGTTCCATTTCATATGTTAGCACAGTCCTGATTTTCAGAAAAGAGTGAGAGATAGGGTATGTATATGTGAAAGGGAGAGTGTGGGGGAATCTAATCAATGCCATATGTGAATTCTTTTGCACAAAAATGGCATATCATTTGGTAGGCCTCACATTAGCAACATGATAGGCACTACTGTGGCTTTCTTAAGGAGGTCTAAGTCCTGAGTTTGGTCTGTTGTGTGATGCATAGGTTAAAGAAAATCTTGTCTTTGTACAAATAACTGGGGTATTTTGTTTGCTTTTTACACTAACTGTTTTGCTTGTGCTGAGCTGCTTTTCTTCTTTTTTTAAAGAGTTAAGCCAAACATCTTTTCCTACATGGGAACCAAAGACAAAAGAGCTATTACAGTTCAAGAGATTGCTGTTCTGAGGTATGTAAAAATGACATGATGTTTAAGCTCCTGGCAATCTGAAACATTTAACTTCATTTTAACACTTTTGTCTGAATACAAGATGAACTATTTGATTATACAGCTCTTGGATTTTGTTTAAGACATCTCTCCAACATGTTTTAAACTTGTGGGATTTAGTAAGCACTCAAATATGCAGTTTATTTAGCTCTGCCTGTGTTCCGCAGAGAATATGTTGGGTAGTTTAGATGGGATATCCTAGGCTCTAAACTGGGAACAGGGATATTAAAAGGTGTAATAAAATCACTGCTGAGACTCATAATAAGATTTCTTGTATTTCTTTAATCACCACCATATGATTGCCAAGCTCTGTACACCAATTTCTGGGGAACTTGGGCAGGAGGTTACTGTTGCTTTCATGTCATGATTATGTGTTTCCTTGCTGGTGGCCAGTCAGCCACTGTGGGAACCGGATATTGGACTAGATGAACCCTTGATTGAATCCAGCGTGGCTCTTCTTATGAGCTTCATGCAGACTATACAGAATCTGTTGGTCTAAATAATTGGAAAACTGATTCAGGTTGGATGCAAAATGTGCTAGAGTTTAAAAGGTGAATAACCGTGCAGTTCCATTGATTGCAAATGGTACAATTGCATATAAATAGCTTTGTTTCTCTGCAATAAACATGGAAGCACACAATGCCTGCTGCCTCTCATTCTCATCACACTGTGGTTTTGTGCAATGTCCAGACTGGGCAACTGGAACTCCAGTTATTTTTTTCTCTGTGGTGACGCTGTTTCTGAACCCCTTCCCGTTCCCCTTGCTAGGGTCACTGCACAAAGGCTGGCTCATTTAAATAAGTGCCTGATGAATTTCAAGCTTGGGAACTTCAGTTACAAGAACCATCCCCTGAAGTTGGGAGAATTGCAAGGAAATCATTTCACAGTGGTTCTCAGGTAAAAGACGCTGTCTTCCAATTCTGTTTGCTGCAGATCTTTGTTTATTGTTGGCAACCACTTGGTTGAGAAAGATAAGTCCCCATTAACTAGTATTTTATGTTTTCCTAATTGAGAGGTAGGAAATGCATTCCCATAAAAGAACGTCCTATAAAAGGAACTTTACAATGAACCAATAACAAATTAAGTGTCTGGCGCTCTCTCTTCTTCCTTGCCCTAATATAACTAAAATAAAACCAAATGCAAATTATGAGTGTGGTATCATGAGCAAAGTTCTCATTTGTTTTCAGTATCAAGAATTTCCATATCTGGATGTACTGTTTAAACTATCTAGTTTAAATTAGGAGCCAAATTAGGTTTGTTGCACATCAGTCCCAGTGGACCTAGATATTGCTTTCATTGAGATCTAAAAGCATCCCACAGTCTGGATACAACCTTTGTCTTTCATATACTCTTCGTATAGTATTTTTTAATCATGCCTCCTATTCCTTTTGAACTTCCCAGCACCTTTATCCAATAGCTGCCAAAGAGTGTTGCAGGGTAGTGTTGGTATGTCTCTGCACTATTGCTGTCCAGTTATGGAATCTAGTACCTTGCACAAGATTTGGCATCTTGAGAAACTTAGGGTACCATCCAGTGTGGCTGCCTGTAACTCTCTGAAATCAGAGGATTACAGGTGTCCAGTGGGGGATGGCAGAGGAGTGCAGAGGCAAGGTTCTCTTCCATGCATCCATCACCCTCCAAAATGCTTTGATGGTTGGCTTTGGTGGATTCTGTCCCTGCTCATGAAGGGGAGGGGCTGATGCACCTCCAGAGTTCTCATGTCTCAGCAGTTCTCACTTTCCAACTCTCCCAGAATGGTCTCCCTCCACCTCCCGAGCCACTGCCCTTACAGAAATAACTGTGCCAGCTGTGAGGATGGAGGGAGAATGCTCCACATCTGGAGTCCCAACTGCTCATAGTACTTTGCTGAGATTCATGCTGAGACTGCACATTTTCTTGCGATCATCTAAGACAGCATGTGATGACCATAAGATTGCACCCTTTGGATTTTAGAAGTAGTTTTTAAAGACATGTATCTATCCCTTATAGATGAGGGACTTGAAAAATATTTTCTTAGATGAGGGGAATGATAGAGAAGAATGGTTCCAGACTGTGAAGCTCTTTTTAGTTTCTGCAACTGAAACTTGCTTTGGGTCTTGGATGTATTTTTTCTCAAAAGTAAGTCATATTATTGGAAGTATGATTTCCTATGAAGTAAGTGTATAAGCAAGTGTGTATGTGTATACATACACATGTGGGGAGAAGCACTTTTGAACACAGAATTTCCTTCTGAGTAAATATGCACTGTCCATATGGTAATTTTTATTTATATGGTAAATAGATTTTATTTTATTTTATTTTATTTTTTGTATTTTATTTATTTGATAATTTTTTTGTATTTATATGGGATTTTAATGATTGTAAGCCGGCCCGAGGCTCATGCGAATAAGTCGTTTAAATAAATAAATAAATAAATAAATAATAAGTTTTTGTTCCTTCACCTCATTTTTTACATTTATCAGAAATATTACAGGAACTGATGATCAAGTGCAACAAGCCATGGAATCTCTCAGGGAAATTGGATTTATTAACTACTATGGCATGCAAAGATTTGGAACCACAGCTATCCCTACATATCAAGTTGGAAGGTATAACTTTCATTTTGCATATCTTAGGGTATAATCCTATAAACGTTTAGACAAAAAAGGCTTACAGCTTGTGGCATGCAACTAAATATGCAAGGATTGTGTCCTTTGAAGTCCCATGAATAAGAGTTTGGGTCATGCAAATATGACTTCAGTCCCTAGATCAGCCCTTTTCTCATCTAATAACCTTGGAAAAATCACTGTTTCTCAGCTGTGGGAAAAGTTGGGTAATGAAGTATAAAACTTTGGCCATTAAAAGTGCTGTATACATTTTAAAAATTCTTTTTATACGAGTGGCATGTCTTTCCTTTGACAGCTTTATATCAAATATGTCACCATGTTCTTCACTGATGTTAATCTGGGTGGCCAGATTTTATGTGCCTGTGGAAATCTTACATTCTCTTGATTTCCTCAGAAGAGGACCTAGTTAGTTCTCATTGTGCTAAATTTAGAGAAAATTGACTGTGCTTCTGTCCTAGTTTCTGTGTATATTTCTGCTACACTTTTAACACTTCCCTGTGTACCAGAGGTAGGACTTTGGAAACTGTATTAAAATAAATTTAGGTTAATAGGATTTAAGCACTCTTATCTCCCAAGAGGCTTTCTTCTGTATGTAACCGTAGTCCCTGTTGTCCTGGGTCAGCCTACAGAGGTGCTACAGGCTCACTTATTCAGGTATTGTCAGGTGGGGATCTTGAGGTATTCCCCAAGATGGATACAGGTTCCCAGAGTTCAAGAGGAAAGGCCAAGCTTTCTTTGTGGTCTCTGTGCATCACACATACAGGCTTGTGCACCTGAGCAAGGCCGAGAGTTCTCTGCACTTCATCAACCCATTTTCGAAGAAGCCATACTTTGGTACTTAGCAGTTCAGAACTCACCAATGTCAAAGACATGTAGCCCTTTCCAGCAGTGCAAACCTCCTCCCAAATCTTTGCACGCCTGGTCTGTGCAAAGTCTTTCTTTGAGTGTGTAATGCACATGAACACATGAAAAAGTGGGCAAAGAAGAACCATATACCATAAGTGAAAGATATACCTGTCTGCTTTAGTGCTTGTCCTTTTAAGAAGAGACACAGTCTGTGTGGAGTGTGGTTGGAACCAAGGAAAGTGAACGGCTCTGTTGCTGAGGCTTTATGTGGCTTGTGTCCTCCTTGGGTCTTTGCTGGCAGAAGCCAAAAGGCAACCAAAGCAGAGAGGGCAAGACCTCCCCTTTCTTTCTATCTCATTCTAACCTTCCCCTTTCTCCCTTCTTCCCTTCCCCAACAAAAATCACACATATGGTGTGGGGACAGCTTCCATTGGTGCTAGTGGTATATTGCTTAAAGCTTAACTTCCCCCCAGTCATTTCCCTTGCCCAGAATTTAGGCTTGGGAAAAAAATGTTGCCTTGGTGCCTAGTTGCCTTGTGGAGTGGGGGTATCAGGCTGGATCCAAGGGTACCCCAGCCTGGGAATGACCTGCTGGCTGCCAGTTCCTCACCCCCGCTTTGATCCCCTAACTATTACTGACCCATTCTTTTGCATTAGCCCCATTGCCTAAGGCCTTGCCATAGCTACAGACATAAGACTCTTGAACTCCAATCCTCTAATTCATTTCCCTGAGTGTAAGTCATATTGAACTCAGTGGGGCTTACAACTGAGTAGACATGAATAGGACTGCACTGTAAGAAGCCACTCTTACTTCTAAATGAGGCTATCCATCTAATAAGAAAACCACAAAATATGCAAGGAAGTAAGTCCTATTGATTTCAGTTAAAAATTGCTTTAAAGCAAATGGGAGTAATACCACTTGTATTTGCTGCTTTAAGTGATACTTCAACTTGCCTTGGTAGATTCTTACGGGCATATTCTTCTGGCAATGCAATATTAAGTAAATGTTATTTTATTTTTTAGAGCTATTCTACAAAATAATTGGAATGAAGTGATTGATTTAATACTGAAACCACGTCCAGGAGGCAAGTATTAAAATATTTTTAGATGTGGCTCCAGTTTTACTGAACAAAGTTATTTATCTGCATCCATCATCAGCAATTGCAATTGATTCATCCAAAATATAAACATACAGCTAAACAGATAAAATTGCAAAATTAATTATCAGAACATATTAAACCTCAAGACAACATAAAGAACCTTTTTTTAATAGCAGATGCCAACATTTTTGCAAATTTTACTGTCACTATATATTCTCAGTCTGCGAGGGAAAACAGTCACACAAAAATGAGAAGTCTGTCCCAGAAGAGATTACTGTTGTGGAATGTTTAACTCTTCTTACACATGTATCTAGAATGATTAAAATAGAAATACATGAGTAATGTTCTGGTTCAGATGTACTGATAAGTCAGAACTATTTAGAATTCTAGTTAATTCTAGTAAGCTGATGCATACTACTGGATCCTGCCATTCTGCTATCTCCTGCCAGAATTTTAAGCCATGGTAGCATAGCCCAATCTGGTTCCCTCCAAATGTTATGGAATACCCATTTTAGGATTAATGAGTTCTGCCACATTAAGAAGGCTTGATCAGAGTTGAAGTCCAAAGTGGGACAACTGGTATAGACACTAATTTACAAAAGCTGGCTTTATAGAAAACAAGGTTTTAGGGGCAAGCATCTTTGTTTATGGATCTCCTTAAAGATGCAATGTTCAGGCAACATACTTTGCAATGTATGCAGTGGCCAAATTTATTGTGCATATCCATAAACAGAAATAGGCTGCCAGTGGCTTTGATGGAAATTAATCTTGGGTACATCAGTGCACTGAGGTTAGCAATGTAACTCCTTTGTGCCGGTTTCAGAAAATTAGCTAAAATAGAGCAAACTTCTGAAACTGGATAAGAATGATTTCATGTTGTGAATACAATAGAATACAATCTCTGTTTGCTTTTTTGCACTTGTATTTAAATAATCCATGGCCTATAGTTGAAAGTGCTTACCTTTTATACCATTTATTGTTCCAGCGGAGAAAGGGTACTTAGTAAAATGCCGAGAAGAGTGGGCAAAAACTAAAGATCCAGCTGCAGCCCTCAGAATACTGCCTGTGAAAAGGTGTGTGGAAGGACAGTTGCTTCGGGGACTTTCAAAGTACGGACTGAAGAATATAGTCTCTGCATTTGGCATAGTGAGTGTGAAAAAGTGGTGTTTGTTTGTTGGTGGCAGTTTAAAGTCTCCAAACAGGTCTACAGTACCTTGGCAGGGTAGGAATAAGATCAGAGTTTTGAGGAATGGTAAATTATGCCCTTTCAGTGTCTTTAATAAGGGTTTATATCTTGGTACAGGAATAGAGTGCAATGTTTACAGTGCTAATTGAGCAGGGCAGCTTATTTTAAGAAATGTCCCTAATTTATTAAGTGTGCAGTTTGAGTATCTTGAACTGAATTTCACAGATGCTAATGCAGAGGTGGATAACTTGTGGCCCTGAAGATGTTTTGACATATAGCTCCCATGATCCCTTATGATCAGCTGTTCTGGCTAGGAATGATGGGATGTGTGGGCTAAAATATCTGCAGAACTACAGGTAACCCACCTCCAAACTTCGCTTTACCTGGGAAGCAGGTAAAGGAAGACACCAGGCACCAGCTTCTGTTGTATCAAGAAAGCCTACTCCTTGCACAATGACCTCAAGACCATAGGGCACCAGTCCCTACTGTCGTAAGGAAGGAACAGAATAGAGAGCAGGATGCAAGAGTCTGAAGAGGACGCCAAGTGCCTGCTCTATTGGGACTGTGCCCTCCCTTCCTTAAAGCCATTTCCAAGATCTGCTTTTGATTTGTTTTATGTTTCTGGCAGTCAGAATGGACCTGCTTTGTGGCTGGCCCCAGGCCAAGGGAACTCCTTGCCAAGGGATGCCCTGCAAATCTCCACCTCTGACCTTCCACCAACAGGCAAAGATGTTTTCATTTAGACAAGCCTTTGGCCCATACATTGACTTCAAATATGCTGTAATTAGCTTTAACTGGTTTTTTTAAAATTGGTGCTTTTGCCTGCTTTGTTTTTATGTTTTTAGTTGGCATTTTTATTGCTGCTAAATAGCATTTTTTGCCCATATATTCCACTTTACCTGCTAAGATCCTCTGGGGTTAATCTTCTGAAGCTTGCCTGTTTTTAGTTGAAAATTTAACTGTTGTTGGTTTTAACCTCCTGTAAACCACTCAGTGCCTATGGGAATGGAGTGGGAGATAAAAATCAAAATAAAAATAAAATAAATGTATGTACATTATTGCTATAAGCCAGCTTGAACACCATTTGATAGAAAAATGAGTTACAAACAGATTGATAAATAAATAGTAATCTGGCTAACATACAGTTGTCTTTTTCTGCTTCTTACCTTCTTAAGATGAGGTGTAAGACTCATAATGGTAATTTTTGGTGGCACAATAACCATTTTTTCTGTCTACAGATTCCAAGAAATAATCGTTTGATGTATATTCATAGCTATCAGAGTTATGTGTGGAATAATATGGTGAGCAAAAGAATAGAAGAATATGGACTTAAACCTGCACCAGGCGATCTTGTACTAAAAGGAGGTAAAATGTCAATATTGCTTTATGGCAGGATGCACCATATACTCTCCCCAAAGCATTTGGATATAGTCCATTTGCTGATTTTTTGTAGCTAGTGTTTGGTTCCTTCACCTCACCTCCAAATGGAATTATTCTTGCAAATTAATCTTGATTGTGTTTTAAATAAGAAAAGGGTGAGCTTTTTTGTATCCCAGTCCTGGAATGCTCTATTCTGAATTTGCAAACAGTTATGCTGTTGCTGATCAAATTGGAAGTGTGATGAAATCCAAAGGGCTCTCCTACCTACAAGAGCATGTTTTGTCTCACTTTCTGACTTGGAGTTGGCTCCAGGTGGTTTTTCTTAAGGACTGGCACTCTGAGACAGCTACTTGACTCCTGTGATACTGCTATTAGAAAAGATATGTGCCTATACAGCAAAGTTTCTGCCACTGCTAGGTGGGGAAAAAAGAGGCTTTTTTAGGGGTTGGTGTACAGGAAGTTAAGATGCAAGTGCTTTAGTCAGCTGTATTCTGACACAGATTTGTGAATGTGCCTGCATAGATTGCTGTTGAAATAGCGGTGATTACAACCGAGTGGAACACAGGAAAACATCGGCTTGCCACGTTGTGGCCTATTACTGCCTAGTCTTTAATCTAGATGGTATTTGAAACTGCTCTTTCTTCATTTATTTTTAAAGCGCTCCTAAAGATTACATCCAAGGAATGTTTCAGAAAGATTTTTCAAAGGGAAATGGCTGGGATAATTGGAAAAAGTGATGTATCACTAGAATAGGTCTCTTTATATTTTTAGGGACAGCTGTTTATATTGAAGAAACAGAGGTTGACAATTATACCATCCATGATGTCGTGATGCCATTACCTGGTTTTGATGTTATTTATCCAAAGCATAAAAGTAAGAACTTGTTTAAAGTCAAATCTATGACTTGATGATCTATGTATAACCAAATTTGCTGATAAATGCTTGGGATACATGTAATAGTACCTACACAAAAGTGAAAACTATTCTGATAAAAAATTATTTTAATATCCATGATAATACAATGAGAAAAATGTATGGACCAAGTTGATTAGCAATGTAACTGTGGAGTTGATAAAGAATGTTAGCTATCTAACCATGTTTTAAAAGTCGGTGGAGGAAAGGAAAGAAGTGACTGGATAGCGGAGTCACATTGTCCTGGTTTTCCTGATGGAACAGCTTAAGGTTGCTTGGGAGTGAATGGATGGGCTGGTTCTCATCCAGTCATAGGGTAAATCTGGAAATCTGAGTTGTCAAAGAAAGTGGTCAATGGAGGGTTGTCCACATGTGTCCTATGTAGACATTTGTGGGGCAGTGGGGAAAGGCTCAGGGCAAAGTAACAGCTGAAGAGTGTTACTCTAGTACTCAATGCTATTTACTTAGTTCACATAATGCTTTGTAAATGTTCATGCTTTCCAGCAGAACACCCATTTTTTCTTAAAATTAAATATTTAATAAAAAGCAAACGTGACCTTTTACACTTTTGGGTCGCATTTCAGCATTACAGATGAGATACTTAACCAGCCCAAGAAAGGTGAAATTGTTCACAATTGGTTGTACCAGAGTCATTGTGTATCTTTCTTACTGTAGTTGGGGAATCCTACAAGGAAATGTTAGCTATGGACAATCTGGACATCAATAATATGAAACATAAAATTCGAGATTATTCATTATCTGGAGCATACAGAAAGATTATCATCCGACCTCAGAATGTGAGCTGGTAAGTAAATCATACGCAGTGTGATGGCCAAAGAATCATGCAGTTATGCAAAATCAGGGGAGTAATTGCTAGTTTGTGTGGTAATTTGCATGCAAGAAGACCTGCTCTGTTCCTCAGTTTAATGTGAATTTGAAATTCCATCTCTGAGGAGGATGGGAAAGGACCTACCCTCATAGTTAAAAAAAGTAGTATCCTAGAATTATGGAGACTTGTGCAGTAATATTTATCTACGTTAGCTATATGGTTCTCATGATTGCCAGACACATTTTAAATCCCATTTTCCATTTTTATAAAGGGAGCTGGTTGCATATGAAGATCCTAAAATTCCATTATTTGCTACTGACTTGGATAAAATGGAAGGAAAACAACCTGCAGTTCCTACCTCAGGCAAGTATTTAAAACAAATCAGGATATTTCATATGCATGCCATGTCAAACATGTTTTGTTCTGGTTATGCCTACAGATTAAATTGCATAATGCTAAGTTTTGTACACGCTTGTTGGGCTAAAAGATTTCAAAATAAATTATCACATATTAAATTCTCAAATAATAAGCCAAGATAATTAAAAATAGCTTTCCAGAAACAAATAATGCCATAGAGGTGGGTGGGTGAGTTGACCTCTTTCAGGAAAACTGAAGAACTGAAGGCAGTGTGGCTGCTGAAATTCACTTTCATTGGAGAAACAGATTAAAGGGAGACCTCAGTGGTTTGCCACTTTATTCTGCAACAGCTACCAGAACTAGTGACATCTTATTCAAATCTGATCCCATGGTTACCAGTATAAAAACAACAAAGTATTTTGGGGAGGGGGGGTTAAAGGAATTTGCCAGCAGGTTTCTTATGCAGTGCCAGACCGCTACCCTCTCCTTACCTGTTTAAGAAGCTCTCGAGGAAACCTAGATTGTGAACATGGCTTTATGAAAATGGCTGGCCCATCTACTTCATTTTTGCTGTTACTATAGTTGACTTGTACAGACGAGTGCTAAATCTATGTCACTTGAAGTGACATAAGCAATAGAAAAGGGATGGGTGCAATTAAGGTATTTCCCAGAACAATTACTCACTGGATGGGCTACTGTGTAATTGTGAACTCTTAATGGTAACACTTAAGCTCACATTAATTCTGAGCTTCAGTGGACTCCGGGGGATGGTGGAAGACAGGAAGGCCTGGAGGAATGTTGTCCATAGGGTCGCGATGGGTTGGACACGACTTCGCGACTAACAACAACAATGGTAACACTCATGGAACAGTAGCTCTTTCCCCATTGCCCTGGCCAATCTGAGATGTACATCTGGGCAGGAATTTGTGCTCTAGGTTCAGCTGGCAGAACACATTATGGAAATCCAGGAAGCTTCTTTGAATGAAATTAGGAGGGTAGTTACTCAGAGAAGGGCCTTTTCAGCGGTGGCGCCCCGAGTGTGGAATACGTTCCCTAGGGAGGTTCGCCTGGTGCCGTCGCTGTATTCTTTTCCATGTCAGGTGAAGATCTTTTTATTCTCCCAGTGTTTTTAACAATTAATTGGTTTTATCTTGTTTTTATTACTATTGTAGATGCAGTGTGCTGTGTGTCATTGTTATGGTTTTGTTCTTGGTTTCCTTCCTTGTAAGCCATTCAGAGACTTTTTTTTAGTAATAGACAGCATAGAAATTTTTAAAATAAATAAATCCTGCAGGTGGAATTTACATTTATCTCCCAGACTTTATTTTGTGTCTTGATTTTGAATAATCAAGGTGGGGAGAGTTTAGCTACTTTGGGAAAAAAAGAGTTATAGGCAATCACCTATATCAGTTTGTCTTCAGATCCTTCAGAGTGCTAGGAAGGAACTAGCAGTACAACCCAATATATATTTACCATTAAGATCTTGGGCGTGGCGGAGAAAACTGATAAAAATGTATCTTCAGTTGGTAATTATGCTGTTTTGGGAAGTCACTGTAATTATTTGAATGTTTTTCCCCTAATCATTGACTTATTTACAACAGAAGGCAAATACAAGGCACTGAAGATGGAGTTCTCCCTTCCACCATCTACTTACGCCACAATGGCCATTCGAGAAGTGCTAAAAATGGACACAAGCATAAAAAAACAGACACAATTAAATACAGTATGGTTACGTTGATGATCCTTTTTATTGATTGGATTAAAGTTTTAACATGAATTTAGTTTCTAAATGACTAGTTTTATCCAGGTACTTTCTATTTGAAAATGGTATTTTTGTATTAGCTTGAAGTATATAGTTTCAAATTCATTGTAAAGTGGTGTTTGAAAAACATGTAACTTTGTTTTGAAATGATGTGAGCAAACATTGTGTTTGAAGAGATAACTCTACCAGCTTGCAAGGAAATAGGATGACTTTGTTAGTAATTTCAAATCCTTGGAAGTATGTTAAAAACGTTCTCAAATATGATAGTAAATGAGTCTTTATAAGTTTGAATGAACACTGGTTGTAAGCATGCCTAATTCTGCATTTCAGGAAAACAGATTAGAGCACAGGTGAATGCAAATTTATGTCCAGTGAATACAAGTATTTAGCCTTAAGAGTGCTGATAGGATCTCTATTCAAAACTGATCCGATTGGCAAAATGCTCATATTGCTTTGTGATGTAAAGCTGCTTTTATTTGATCTTATTCAGTCTGTGTCCATTTTCTGGAACCTGTTTCAACTTGTGAGGAAGCAGACAATCCATATATGGAATTGTATCCTTGATGAATGTTGCTTAGCTCCAACATTTATGGTTTGTCTATTGCTGGCAATGGATGAACTTCAAAAATCTGTGTCCTGGCATGACAGGATTAAACAACCATTCTGAATTTAACACTTGTGGTATTGTGGGCTCATTTTATTTTTCATTTTCAAAACTAAGCAAATCATGTTTTATATGGCTTGGATTATTAAATAATTGTGTGTGAAAATCTGTTACCCTTTTTTGTTCTAGTGATTATTACCTCCACTCATTTCTTCAGTATTAGTAAAATGTATATCGATATGTATGAGGGGTCTTCAAAAAGTTTCCACATTTTTATATTTTATGAATATATTTATATATTTTTGCTGATGGCATTAAAAAGTTATGACGCTGGGCAAAATGCATTGCAAAGGAAGGTGACTATGTAGAAAGTGATGTAATTTGTTTCTTAAATTCTTAATAGAGTTTTAAAAAGTGTGGAAACATTTTGAAGACCCCTCATAGATATGACACACATTATTTTGTGGAAAGCTCTATTTACACATACTACTCCATATATCAATTTTATTCAACCATTTACCATAGATGGTAAAAACCCCCCAAGATTTCTGTTTTAAAATAAGTGGGTAAAGGCAAACCATGAACAAGATTATTTTCACTTCTCTTGCCTATTGATAACCCGGTGGCAAGCAGAAAGCAGGACAGAATCATCTCAATTCCTGAGCAATTTGTGATTGGCAAGAACTAACATGCATGTGAACAGCAATGCTGAATCAGATCAATGGCCCACCCAGTCTAGCAGTCCATTCACACAGTGTCAAACAGCTGCCCACAGAATCCCTGAGCAGAATGGGCAAGAGAGTTCCACGTGCCCAAGCTCCTCCGCAAGTGGCGTCCACAGGCACCCCACTTCTGATGTTGGAGGTAGCACATAGCCAAACAAGGCCAGTAGCCATTGATAGCCTTCTCTCCCATGAATTTATCCAGTTCCCTTTTAAAGATATCCAAATTTTTGGTCATCACTGCTTTCCATGGTGCGGAATTCAGTAGTTTAATATGTGTTGTGTAAAGAAGTACTTCCTTTTATCTGTCTTGAATCACCCCCCAGTCAGTTTCATAGGGTGACCCTGGGTTCTTGAATTATGGGAGAGAGAAGAAACTGTCTCCCTTGCCATACCATGCATAATTTTAAACATTTGTAGTGTGTCTTTCCTTACTTGCCTTTTTTCTAAGCTTAACAATCCCAGTTATCTTACCGTTCCACGTAGGGGAGTCATTCCAGTCCCTTGATCATGTTAATTGTCCTTCTCTGCACTTTTTCCAATAGCAATAATGCCCTTTTTAAGTGTAGTGAACAGAACTGCATACAATATTCTAAGTGTGCCCCCCCCCCGAAGATTTGTATAAGGGTAGTGTAATTTTGGCAATTTCACTTTCAATTACTTTTCTACTTATGCTTAACATGGAGCTTGCCCTTTTTACAATAGCTGTGCACTGGGTTAACATTTTAATCCAGCTGTTCACCACTGCCCTGAGATCCTTGCTCAGTCACTGCTTGCTGAGATCCCATCAGCCTATACTTGAAGTTGGGATTTTTCGCCCCAGCATGCACTACTACCTGACAGTTTATCAGCAGCAAAAACAACAAAAATATTCAAAATTAGGCTGGGACATAAAGCTTGAGGAATGGAAAAACAAGAATGGTGTGTGTGTGTGTGTGTGTGTGTGTGTGTGTGTGTGTGTAAGAGAGAGAGAAAGAATTATTTATTTATTTAAGATATTCGTATGCCGTCCTTCCTTTGTGAGAGCCTCAGGATGGCTTACACAAATAAAATACTTTTACATAAAAGTATAACATAAATAAATGAACGACCCACTCTGGCTGCAATTAAAATATGGTAATAAAATTCAATATTAAAACTTGTTAAAATATTGATTAAATAAAAAGGTCTTAACCTGGCACCGAAAAACGTATAATGATGGCGCCAGGTGGACCTCTCTGGGGAGCGCATTCCATAGGTGGGGCACCACTGCAGAGAAGCCCCTCCTCCGGGTACTCTGTCTCCTAATATCTTTCACAGAGGGTTCCCGGAGGAGGGCTTCTGCTGCCGATCTCCGGGAACAGGAGGGCACATAGGGAAGAATGAGCTCATTTCAGGTTCTGAAAACAAATTGGAGAGCCAAGCATATGCTCAGACGAACCCTGTTCCTCTTAAATCAGGCAACTTGTGACTATCCAGATGTTTTAGCTGATAAGCCCCATCATTCTAGACCTGATGGGAGTTGAAGCCCTCCAAATGTTTTGGCCTACAAGTTGCCCAATCCTAAATGGATGCTTCCCTGGTGCTTTTCATTATTACATTGCATTTATATCCCGTTTTCCTTGTGCAAAGAACCAAAGGAGACATTTAGCTTTATTTTCACAACAACAATCCTGTAAGGCAAATTAGGCTGAGAGTGAGTGACTGAGCCAAAGTCACCCACAGTGAGCTTCATGGCTGAGTTAGGACTAGAACTCTCAGGTCTCCAGTCTAGCCTCCCCAACCATCACATTGCACTGGCTCTTATCTGGTCCCAGGGGGTAAAATGTGGTGTAGACCCTACAAGCCTGGGGTCGATACAGGTAAGTCATCCTTATTCTAAGCAATTTCTATCAGTTTCCTTAGTCCAGAGTATGGGCAACTGCCAAGCACTCATTTCTGCTCCAGTAGTGGCTGTGCAGGGCCACACTGCCAAAATTGTGAAAATGCTGAATTGCCACTGAACTTTCCTCATGTAACAGCTGCAAGCACACGTCTTTTTTCCATTTAAAACAAGGTGATTGAGGAGCATATGCCTTGTTTTAATGCCCCAGACAGGAAATTTGACCTTTTGACTCCTAACAGCTATGTGGTAAGGTCTACAAAGGACTGGGGCCATATGCAGTCAGTGCACCACACATTCCCCACCCCTAGTCTACAGTAACACAACAAAGAACATGAAATGGGCTGGAGGGCATAATGTACTTGTCGCCATTCTTCTGACACTTTTGAAATAAATTCTGTGGGAGTTTGAATAGAACTGGTGGGGGCAAGTGTTTCTTACACGGGGTGCATATTAGAGTTACCTTAACAATCAGGAGAAATCCAAGATACAGTGGTAGCACGGTACAAAGGGTATTTCTCACACAAAAAGAACTCGTGTTCCAATCTTATTTTGTGTAAAACTTTAAAAAAAAAACATTTGAACATGCTATTCGTCTTTATGAGAATCCATGGAGCACAAGGCTAGCTTTAGTAGAGAGTTCTTTAATTAATTTGCGTTCACTGCTGAGAAGAGTTTCAAATGGTACGTTTGTCTTGACGTTTAAATGAGCCCCTTCTCTGACCTGCAATATTTACAGCGAAACACATGAAAAGGCTTCTCTGTTTGACCCTAACTTACAAAGTAGGCATGACAACATGGTGGTGTTCTACGCTAGTCGACCCTTACCCCAGCGGGGAATAACTGAGTGGTCGGCGGAGCAGAGCTGTTTTAAGCCAATCCCGCGGCCACAGCTTCTCCAACCACAAATGCGGACTAACTGCATTGGAAGCGACACCGACAAAACTAGTAACATCTCGATTCCATTTTCTCCCCACACAGCAGGTGAGTTAAAGGTCTGTTCGTTTGTTTGTGCGGAGGAGCGATATTACCATTTAGGAGTAAACATGATGCTCTAAAATACTGGATTTTTCTCTTGTATTCGCACTTCCCTCAGAAAGAGCTTCCGAAGTTAACTCGGAAACGGGCTTCAACGTATTCACCTATCTCTCTCCCATAGTCAAGGCGAGAAATTACGTATAAAAGTTGCGCCGGTAGGGCATGTGACCATGGAAGCGAATGGGAGGCGCAATTCTACTTGTCGCCCCCTGCTGACTCCTGCCCTTACTTGTAACGATATTGAATGATTCGCGAGTTAGCTGCTGACGCGTCCACTAGAAGAGGCGGCGAAGAGGAGGAGGTAGAGGGGGCGTGGCTTGCGCTTGCGGGCTGGTGAGCGGGTAGGTGGTCTTTCGCGCTCTTCCCCCCTCCCTCTTAGCCCGGCGTTTTATGCTGCTGCGTTTCAACGGCACCTCTGAAGGCTTCTTTCAAACGGGTTGGGGTGACCGCGGGGACACGGAGTCGGGCGCGGTAGCCACGTCCGCGAGCTTTGGGCTGACCGGGTGCTTCTTTGTGTTACCTCCGTAGTGCTCCAGGGAGGGAGATGCGTAGGCTGCATAAATGGGGGGAGGGGGCGGCCAGTCTGAAGGAATGCTGCTTGTATCGTTAGGACTGCCCTGGTGGGTCCAGTCCAAAGCCCACTGAACCCAGTATCTTATTCCCGACATAGCCCAGCCAGCTGCTGATAGGCGCTCCTAGATAGGGTGGGGTGGCCTTTCCGTTATTTCTTCCTGGCATTTCGTATTTAGTACTCTCAAAGATGGAGGCTGTGTTAAGATTGTTGATATTCGTCAAGGGTCCTGATCTCCTGTAATAATGACATAAATAAATGAAAGGCTCATCTCTTAAAACACACAGAGATCCCCAAACTAGGAACATTTGTGAAAGGATCTCACGAAAGAGGGATGAGAGTTGTGGTGGGGATGTGAATGTCTGCATTACAAACAGTTCTCTGCAGACTTACTGGCTTTGCAGTGATCCAGGTTTTTGAAAATTCATTGGTAGTTGGTGAGTTGACCTTTTCAATGTTGTTGTCATCAGCTGCTATTGCTCCTGATTCTTGTTCTCATCATTGCTACCACTTGGGTGTGTACCAATATGTCATCACCCAACACATGTAGCAGGACACTCTTTAGACTTCTTTGATTCAGCTGGACTTGAGAATGGTACGCTTGAGTGTGGAGGCCTTTGATCTAGTTACTTTGTCATGGTCAGATCGCCGTCTGTTGAGATTCAGACTGATGGCAGCTTTTCCTCTCTGCAAGGGTGGTGGACCTATCAAGATGGTCCAGCCCAGCAGCTAAGGGATCTGGACAGTTTCCAAAGGGCTCTGGAGAGCTGTCCCACAGATATGGCAGGCACTCCTGTCAAAGCCCTGGTTGGGCTGTGCAACACAGAAATAACCCAGGTGATTGACATGATCATTCCTGAGCAGCCTCTCTGTTGTACAACTTGCATGATTGATATACCCCAGAGCTGACAGCAATGAAACATCATAGGATATAACTAAAGTGCAGCTGTAGGGAAGCTCCTCATAGATGCGAGTGTACCTTTGTGTAGTGCATATTACAGCAAGGTATAGTTAGAGGCAGTGAGGGCAGTAAAGAAATAACATCTCACTGTCTTTTTTCAGTGGTCTGCTTGCTGTTCAGTGGAGCTTTTCAGGGTCATTCAGGGCCTGTAACATGATGGCACTAAAGACATCTTAGACCTCTCTGAGGCCCACCGTGGGGACTTGCATCCCCAGGCACTTCCAGGAGAAAATCTTTTGCATTTGTCTGGATTTAGAATCCAAAAATATAACATTTGCACCAGGTGAGCTACCCAGAACACAGCTTGGACCAGTTTTATTTGTGGAGTTTTAATTGTTAGAACTTAAGGATGTCAACAAGGTGCTTGGACAGGTTTGTGCAACCACCTATGCACTTGATCCTTGTCCCCTCCTGGCTAATAAAAGCCAGCAAGGAAGGAACAACCAGCTGGGCTAGGAAGGTTATTAATATCTCTATGAGAATATCTCTAGTGGTTCTGCATTTCTTGAAAGAGGCAACAGAGACCATTCCTGAAGAAATCGTCCTTAACCTGGAAGACCTTAATAACTTTAGGCTAAGAATCCTAACCCTTTTCTGGGCAAGGTTGCAGCTAGTTGCCAACCAACTCCATGCCCTCTTGGATAACACTGGTTACCTGTATCCATTTCAGTTGGGGTTTAGGGTGGGTTTTGGAATAGAAACAGTTTACTTGCCCTTTATGATGACCTACACTGGGAGAGAGATGGGGAGTGCGACCCTGTTGTTATCAAAAGCTACTGAGAAGTCCACGAATATCATCAACCATGGTATCCTTCTTGGGCAACTCTGAATTGGGAGTGGGGCGTACTGCATTTCAGTAATTCCGTTCCTACTTAGAGGGCCATCTTTTGAAGAATGTGCTTGGGGAATACTGTTCAAACCCATGGACTCTCCAGCATGGAACTCCTCAATGGTTGATCTTGTCCCCCATGCTATTTAATATCTTCATGAAACCACTGAGTGAGATCATCCAGAGTTCTGGAGGGCATAGCCATAAGTATGCTGATGACACATAGCTCTATTTCTCCTTTTCATCCTAACCATTTTTATCAGGTGAGGCTGTGGATGTGTTAAATGGGTGGCTGACTGTGATAATGGACTGAATTAAGGGCTTAAACACTGTTGCTCAGTTCTGGCAATACTGAGGTGCAGTTAAATGTTCTGACTGGATGGAAAACGTTCAGTGTGTTCTAGATTGATTTGCACTCCTGAAGGAGCATGCTCATAGCTTCAGGGCTGGTTTTCTTGATCAGTCCTTTTCACTTGAGGCTCAGGTGGCCTCAGTGGCATGGAATGGCCTTCTATCAGCTTTGGTTGGAGGCTCTGCTGCACTCCTGTCTGGACAGGGATACCTGGTTTCTGTAATCTGCTTTTTGGTAGTTTCTAAATTGGATTACTGCAATGTACTCTATATTGGGCTGCCCTCAAAGGCTGTTCAGAAGTTGTAGCTCATGCAGAATATGGCAGCCAGATTTTAATAACTGGGAGCCATAGGTCAGAACATACATGACCAGTTCTGGCCTGCTTGCATTGGCTGTCTTTATGCTTCCAAGCCTGAATCAAGGTGATGGTTTTAACCTATAAAGCATGACATGACTTAGTATCATAAATGATTGAGAGCACCTCTCTCAACCACAATCTGCTCAGATGCTACACCTAACATCCAGGATCTTCTACCAAGTGCTAATTCCGAGGGAGGCAAGAAGAGGGAGTGCTTACAGCAGGTAGCATCCATGGACATGTGCACACTTGACTATTGCCGGTTAACTGTCAATTGAAAAGTAAAGCTTTCAAAAGAAATAAGTTTTTTAAAAAGCTACGTACCAAATTTGAGCATTCTTTTTGGACAAAGAAATATGCAGCCATGGAATCTACATATATTTGCTGTCCCAAATGGAAAAAAGTTAGTTTGTGATCAGAGCTGGGAGAGGGAGACAAGATGGGTTCTACCATGTAGGACCCTGGGATATTGGCTGGAGTACTGGGGGCAAAGAAAGAATAACCAATGGTAAACCCAGTTCTATGTTGGGCATAGAGTGGATTATTCCATAAACATCCCGCACTTCATAGTTTGTTTGCAGGGTTAGGAGCTGTCATGTGTGAAGTCCTGTAGTATTACAAAACCTCAAGTATACCATTCTACTTAGCAGCAGCTAGTGATTTTAAGGTGCAAAATGGAATAAATGTGCCTGAAGGGATTTTTTTTAAAGCTAGCAGTGATGAGGCATGTGTGTTCATTCCCATGAGCTCCATTCACATATTTTGCTCTCCTTTTATTGTCAAGGGCTGTAAATAATATGGATGAACAAAGAAATTCCCATCAAATGAACTGAAATAGTGAACAGGTGAAAATAGACACTTCCGTGCATTTCTTACTACAAAAAGTATGCAAATGTATACTAGAACTGTTTCTCTGGCATATATTTTTACATTTAGCACACCCTATTTTGCTCATTTTTTAATTCTCCAAAATATAAATCATCTTTCATTGCAGAATATCCCCCCTTTGTTGTGTGCTGTATTGTAGATGGCTCAACCACTGTTTGAAAGTGATAGGTCTTTGATCCCTAGAGAGGTAAGATTTTTCTATTTTGCTTTCTTGCTTACAATACTATTTGTTGCAGAAATATAGCTAATAATTTAACCCCCTTTACTCCTCTCCCAGGCCAAGTTCCCAGCCTTGGAGAGGCAGCCAGCACGATTCCTTCTGTACCACCTACAAGGGACATCAGAGCATGGATTCCTAGCTCCAGGGTTGGAGCTCTACCTCTGACTTCAGATTTAGGAATCTTAAGTATCCAATGGCCCCCCAGGTGATGACTAGGGGCCATAGGATTGCTCTCCCCATTGTAAAATATAGTTAATGTAATTTTTATTTATTATTTATTTATTACATACATTTATACCCTGTCCTATCACTTCAAGCGCTCAGGACAGCTTACAAGTATAAAAATACAATAAATATAAAACTACCATATAAAACATTAATTATTAAACAATATAAAACACATCACAAGAAAAGGAAGAAAAAATAGAAAGTGTGACTGTGAAAGTTAATATAAGGATGATGTTCCAAAATGTTATACAGTGAAGCGTTCTCTGATGGAGAAATCATAAAAAACTAATGGGTCGATGATGGTTCTTGCTGTCTCTGTTCCTTGATTCCATAATCATACCTCTTCTTTTGGAAACTTACATCCTGGCAACACAATTGGCAGCATGGTGTTTCTTGGGTTTAAAATCATCTTAGGTTTAAGTTCTTCTCATTGGCTGCTCTGAGTCAGAAACTTCAGAAATATGATGAATTGGTTACAGAGAGAGCTATCCCAAAGTGATTAGACAAATGTTACAGACAGAAGAGAGGGAGAACAAGCAGCACTGAATAATTTAACATGTTAAAACAGAGAAGATTCACATAATGACTTTTAGCCACTGGGCTAGAGATTTCTAAGCACTTGAAAAATCACTGTCCATTTCTCAGTGGTATCGGAGAATGTAGAGACTCATTCTGATGGTTATACTCACCTACTTTGTGGTTCAACACTGAATGTTCATCTAATGGCTGTACTTTTATAAATAGCTCTCCACTGAGCTTTAATTTTCTAGCATCCACTATACAGCAAACTTTTCAAAAACATTAGTTACTGTCGCTGTTGAGTCTGTTTGAAGGCTGACTGTTTTTGTTTCTTTGAATGTCTGTATTTTAAATATTCTCCTTTAAATAATGAAGGAGTTTTCACTCCCAATTACCCAGGGAGCTGCAGAATTCTGCATCCTAGGAGGCAGCTGCAGAGCTCTCTCCCATGCACCCTGCAAGCATGGCATCTTTGATAGTCTCACATAGGTGCCACGATGAGAGATCGGTTGGCTGGCTGCTGTCATCACTTCCCCTCTGCTGTCAAGGCGGGTATTATGTGTAGAGTGGAAGACAGCAACAGAACAGTGCTTTCAGCCTCCTTGGAAGCTTGTGCAGAATACAGGTCAAAGGAGGCTGACTCCTACTTTGTTTCTCCCTCTCTTCAGGAGATTAACAAAGAGGAAGAGCCAGGGGGAAAAGCAGAAGATCCTCACAAAGTTCAGATTGAATGGTGAGTCCCCTCAGAAAACTATTCCAGAGTACTTGGGGTGGGGGGTATGGGTCAAACAAAAGAGCAGTTCCAGCTGCTTAGAAAATCAGTAGCCTGAGAAATCCCACTTGTGCACCTCTGTATAAATTAAGCTAAGAAGTTTGTTTGCTGGCAAAAGGAGAAGTCTGATATTTTCCCTAGCCCTAAAGGAGGGGTTTCCTTGGCATGCCACACAGTCCTCCTTTAGAAACATGTCCTGTCCTTACACACTCAGTGTGATCTTTTTATTAACTCTAAACTGATCTGTAGTAGGATTATCTTTACATGATTTTTAATTAATTGGGACTTTCCCCTCATTGAAATGGCTAATAGGTTATAATACCCTTCAGTAAAGGAGGCTCTGTTGAATAATTAGGCTGAGCAAATTATTGAGATTTATTATTATTATTATTATTATTATTATTATTATTATAACATTTCTATGCCGCCCCTTGCCGAAACCTTGGGGCGGCTTACAACATGATAAAATACATTGAAATACAATAGTACATAATAAATTACCATTAAATATAAAAATACAAAAAAACATTGATTTACAAATATAAAATTAAAATTATCAGTATAAAATAAAAATATAGGGGGAGAAAGAAAAGGAAGAAGAAGTTGCCCTGGCCAGATCATATGTTTTAACAATTGAAATGATGTTTAAATAAAAAGGTCTTTACCTGGCGCCGAAAAACCAGTAACAACGGTGCCAGGCGGACCTCTTTGGGGAGTGAATTCCATAGGTTGGGCGCCACCGCAGAGAAAGCCCTCCTCCGGGTACTTACTCTCCTAATTTCTTTCATGGAGGGTTCCCGGAGAAGGGACTCTCCCGCAGATCTCAAAGGGCGGTTGGGCATATACGGACGTAAGCGCTCGTTCAGGTAGCCAGGACCCAAGCCGTTTAGGGCTTTATAGGCCATAATCAACACCTTGAATTGGGCCCGGGCTTCAATGGGAAGCCAGTGAAGCTGACGGAGGACTGGAGTCATGTGAGCATAACGCCCCATCCCCGTCAGCAACCTGGCAGCTCTATTTTGCACCAATTGAAGTGTTCGGACTGTCTTCAGGGGAAGCCCCACGTAAAGCGTGTTACAGAAGTCTAGGCGGGAAGTCACCAGCGCGTGTGTCACCGTCGCCAGGCAGTCGTACTCCAGGTAGGGGCGCAGCTGATTAATCAGCCGAAGCTGAAGGAAGGCATTCCTCACTACCGCTGTCACCTGAGCTTCCAAAGAAAGCTCCGGGTCGAGGAGTACTCCTAAGCTGCGGACCTTATCCCTAAGAGGGAGTGTTGCACCATTCAGGACCAGGTCAAATCCACCCTCTCCAAAACCCGATCCGCCAACCAACAGGACCTCCGTCTTGTCTGGGTTGAGTTTCAGTTTATTGGCCCTCATCCATTCCCTTACCTCGGCCAAGCACCGGTTCAGCACAGCCACTGCCTCACCTGGATTAGTGGAGAACGAGAGGTAAAGCTGGGTATCATCAGCGTATTGATGATTCCGCAGACCACACCTCCTGATGACCTCTCCCAGCGGTTGCATATAGATGTTAAATAGCAGAGGGGATAGAATGGAGCCCTGTGGTACCCCATGGCATAGCTGTCATGACGTAGAGACATGGTCCCCCAGCACTACCTTCTGGAATCGACCGTCGAGATAGGAGCGGAACCACTGCAAAGCAGTGCCTCCAACCCCCAATCCCGCAAGTCTATCCAGAAGGATACCATGGTCGATGGTATCGAAAGCCGCTGAGAGGTCCAGAAGAACCAACAGGGATGTACTCCCCCTGTCCTTCTCCCTGCACAGGTCGTCGTACAGGGCGACCAAGGCAGATTCAGTACTGTACCCGGGTCTGAAGCCGGACTGAAAAGGATCCAGATAATCAGTTTCATCCAAGAGTGCTTGGAGTTGTCCCGCCACCACTCGCTCCAACACCTTGCCCAGAAATGGGATGTTGGCCACAGGTCTATAGTTAGTGGCCATCTCTGGATCCAGTGACGCTTTCTTCAGGACCGGTCGTATTACCGCCTCCTTTAAAGGGGCAGGCACTCGACCCTCCCTCAGAGAAGCGTTAACCACTTCCAAAATCCAGGTCCCAATCCCGTGCTTGGAGTTATTTATTAACCAAGACGGGCAAGGATCCAATAGGCAAGTGGTGGGACGTACTCTTCCAAGCACCTTGTCCACATCATTGGACCGCAATAATTGAAATTCCTCCAATAATTTTGGACCAGACGGTGGCATTGGCGACTCCTCAGAGACCTCTGATTCATTAGTGGAGTCCAGCTCATGACGAATCTGAGCGATTTTCTCCCTGAAATGCCTGGCAAAGTCATCACAGCGGGCCTTTGAGGGTGGCATCGGATCTTCCTTAGGACCCGGGCGAACCAGGCCTTGCACCACTCGAAAAAGCTCCACTGGACGGCATTGTGAGGAGGCAATGGAAGCGGAAAAAAACTTCTTTTTTGCCGCCTTCACCGCCACAGCATAGGCCCGATAGTGGGCTCTCAAGTGTGTTCGGTCAGATTCATCCCGTGATTTCCTCCACCTACGCTCTAGCCGTCTCCCAACTCGCTTCATCACCCGTAATTCAGGTGTATACCAAGGGGAAGAGCGGACTCTGCCCGGTGGGAGAGGACGCTTAGGAGCGATCGTGTCCACAGCCCTGGTCATCTCTCCGTTCCACAGTTCGACCAGAGCCTCGACAGGAGCACCAGTCTTGTCAGCCGGAAACTCCCCTAGGGCCTTCAGGAATCCATCCGGATCCATCCGGCTCCGGGGGCGGGCCCATACAATCGGGTCCACACTCTTATAGAGGGAGAGGCCGCTCTCGAGCACAAACCTCTCCAGGAGGTGATCTGACCATGACAGGGGAGTCAAACATAAGTTCTTCACCCTCAGGTCATCCTCTACCTGCCCCGTCGTGAATACCAGGTCCAGAGTGTGTCCACGTTCATGGGTCGGGCCAATGACGTGTTGAGACAGGCCCATGGCCGTCATAGAGGCCATGAAGTCCTGAGCCGCCCCGGTCAGTCCAGACTTGGCATGGAGATTGAAGTCCCCCAGGACCAACATCCTGGGGGTCCTCAACACCAGGTCCGAGACAGTTTCTGTCAGCTCAGATAGGGAGACTGCTGGGCAGAAAGGTGCACGGTACACCAATAGAATCCCCAATCTGTCCCGTTCGCCCAACACCAAGTAGAGGCACTCCAGCCCTGGTCTCAAAGGGACTGGAAGACCCGTGAGAGAGATGGAGGCTCTGTAAACCAACGCGACTCCCCCTCCCCTCCCTTCTGGGCGTGAACAGTGTTGAACCAGATACCCGGGCGGGCACAAAGATTTCTGTTTCTTCTGAAAACATTTTGGATGCCTTACGCATATAGGGATTTCCTAACTTGTAGCTCTCTGCTTAATGGAATTTTCACACTTCTTTTGGCATTTAATAACGTTTTTGAACTGAGATTGTGTTTGCAAAAGTTTCATATTGATTTTGCATCGTAGTAAACAATAAACTTTTAAAACTCAGTACTGCAGATCGTACTAAGATGGAAGCTCTTGACCACGGAAAGAAGAGTCTTTCCAGAGACCCAGAGTGTTGTGACATCCCTTTCTATGTGTCTGAATTTGTAGAAAGGGAATTTGGAAATGATCTTGATTCATTAAGCAAGCTTGGCAGTCTTATTGAACAGTTGTCAGAAGGCAAAATCAAGCTAGAAGAACAGGTGAGTTGTACAAGTCTCTGGGGTTTAAATATATACGGACAATATCCTGCTGATACAGGCTGCCTGCCTGCCACATGGAGAAGAACACTTCTTGTCTCCAAGGTTTACCTCATGTTCACATATTAAATATAAAATATTCCTTGCATAGTATTCAAAGTGTGTTGGCCCAGTCTTGGTGCTTTTACAACTCAGCTTCTGGAAGGGCTCTTGTTTGTTTGTTTCTAAGTTGTACAGATTTGACCTTCATGTGAAACATTAATACACTGCACATTTGAAACAGTATGGCCAATCTATGAATGGGAGGCAAGAAGGGGACAGTCCCATTTTTATGACATGTGCATAGCATCTGTGTGGTTGAAGGCTTATTTGATTAGATCATTCCAGTTTGCACCTGCACCATGTTTTAAAAATTCAGACTTTCACACTTGCTGTGGTATATCTCCTATGCTGTATATTTCAGATCCTTATATATTTTAATGATATTTAATTAATTTAAGCATATAATTCATGTATATTGAAAGGAAAGCATCTGAGATGAGACAGATTTAATCATCTGAGATAGATCGTGCAGTACTACTTCTCTTTTTTCAGATAATTCCAGCAATAGTGTAAACTGAATGGTGAAGCACAATAATACTGAGCTTTTTATTTTTATTTTATTTTATTTATTTTTGTATTTATATGCTACCCCCTACTCCACTGGAGTTTCGCTAATGTAATATAAATTGTTAAATTTGGTTTTCCCTATTGTTTTTTTGTATTCGTATCAAAGATCAAAGGCCTACTTCAGATAAAACTGAAACTACGATTTAGGAATTGCAGTACTTCTTCCTCTACCTTTTTTCCTTTCCATCATAAATGCTTCTCCAGTCCTTCACTTTTTCTTTTTTCTTTTTCTTTTTTTGGTTACTTGTGACTGTTACAAATGTGGTTAAGATTCCAGGTCACAGAGAATTTGTGTGTATAATCAAATGTGGTTCCGGTTGTGAGTTTGAGCTGGGTCAAAATGCTAAATGGTTGTTTTGTGCTATATAAGGAAAGTGTCTCAGGAAGAATAGATGCCTTTTACTCTTTCATATAGGTACTTACAGTTTCATCGGAAGATCCAAAAAGAATTAAAAAAGCCTTACAGAATGCAGAAGATTCTAAGATGTGTCTGAATCAACTTCTTGAAAATGAAAACCTTTTATATGAGTCCATTAATAATCATTTGTTGACATCAAAACCATGGATGGAGGACCTTGGTGTACAAATAAATCGAATAAAAGAAGTTGAACGGTACCTTGCTTATTTAAAATTGATCTCACAAATAGAGGAATTAAGGTAAGTAGTATACCTAATTATCCTATATGCTTTACTCATAATGAAAAAGTAGTAACCAAATAAAGTTACATTTTTGCATTGTATCTCCATCTACTTAAGATATGATGAATTTATTGTTTTCCATGGAGATTTACACAAATATTTCCTTCTTTGTATTGGTTTACCTTGAGGTATGTGCAGTTCCCCCCCACCCCAACCCATGTGTTATTTATTTACAAAATGTATGTAGCACTCACATATTGTATAGGTAGACTGAAGTGGTGGAAGATAAAAGAATAAAGCAGTGGCTGGGTTTACACACCACAACATGCACTTCTGCATGGGTACCGTGGTTTGCAGTTTGTTCTATGAACCCAGCCAGCATGTTAAAAGTAAGACCAGGAAAACCATATCAATAAAACCATGGCTGGTTAGATCTGGAAGTTTTTCTGAAATGAAAGTGTTTTCAGGAGGCACTGAAAACAATACATTGTTGGTGTCTGTCTGACCTCCAGAGTCAGGCAGCTGTTTCAGCAAATTCTTTGAGTGGACTCCACTTGAGCCATAAGTCCATGTGGAACCACCAGAAACATGCCAGGAAAAAAATATATATATTTTTTTTTTAAAGGAGCATGCCATACAATGATTTCTGTGATTGGGAAGGGAGCAGGTGGTCTCTCGGGTGTCTACTCAGAGTTGTGGAAAAGCCACATATAAATGGTTGTCATATTAATAGGTTTGTTTATTTTGAATAACTAGAAGTACTATATGCATTTTTCAATTATTATCTTTCTACTCAACAGAAATAAAAATATATGAAGGTTTGTGAGTTGGGTACTGTAGAATGACAAATAGTGTGTCACTTTATGGCACACTTGAATTTCTTTGATTTGTACTAAGTGCCTTGGTGTCACGTCTGAGTTTGTGTCTTTTTGATATGGAATGGCAGGTTATAGGGCTTGTTATTTTAACAATTCTTTATATTTGACTCTTGTCTGAAAATATGTTGGTTAGCCATTTAAATGTTTTTTACTTTTGTATGTGTCTTGGGAGCGGTTACATCAAATTATGTTTGTACCACCTACTTCATTGTTAAGCTTTTGACAAGGCATGGTCTTTGCACACTCAGCAGATATTAATTTTTCATTTTTAGTGACAACATTCAGCAATATCTTATGACCAACAATGTGCCAGAGGCAGCTTCTACTCTAACTTCAATGGCTGAGTTAGACATCAAGCTTCAAGAGTCATCTTGTTCTCATCTTCTTGTTTTTGTAAGATCAACTGTCCAATTCTGGCACAAGATCTTAAAGGATAAACTGTCAAGGTAGTGTATACACACTAGTGGATGTCTTAATTTTGCATTAGATGACTGAGTCATAATAATTTCCCATGCTCCTCTGTTGCAGTGATTTTGAGAATACTTTAAAAAACCTTCATTGGCCATTTGTTGGACCAGCACAATCTCAGCCTTTTGGTTCAGCTACTGCACCTGCCAATGCCCTAGAGATAGACAATAACTTTGAGACTCTGTTTTCTCAACTATTGAAACTGCAGACATCGTATCCTTTCAAAAAAGTGTTCCTTTCCAAAATTGACATAATGTCTTGAGTCCAAGGTACTGCTCCACTCTTTGGTGCACTTGCTCATTTGACTTTTTCTCTCCAGTTTTATTTATTTATTTATTTATTTATTTATTTATTTATTAATTAATTAAAACATTTTATGCCGCCCCATTCGCCGAAGCACTCCCAGGCTTTTAGTCTCTTTGACTTACGCTGCCAGGTCCCCCTTTCTGTGTCCATAATCTCCTTTTCCTCCCTGTATTTATTTTGAAGTGGCTGTTTTTCTTCCAAACCACAATGTACATAGAGTTCCAAACTGTGCCTTGTTGTGCCTCCTAAAAAATGGAGGCAAAATATATGTAAATTGTTTGGCTGCGAAGCAAATGAAAGGGAAATTTCTTCATCTGTTCTGATATTGCATATGTGCACATTTCTTTACCACTTCGCAGTTATTCAATTTGTGCATATTCGTGTGACATTTTTAATGTCAGGAAACCTCAGCAGCAGATGGTCTGAACAGGAATTATGGAAAGAGGGTCATCAGTCTGTTTCCTTTCCTGAGCACCTGGAAAGTCATGCAAGTAATGAAAAAAATGGAGAACTAAGAAGTGTCAGTTCAACAAGTAAAATCAAGATTATCGTATCACCAAGGAAGAAACCATTGCTATATTTACTCCTTTGGCTCCCCCACCCCATTCTAGTGCTTTTGACCTGCACTACCAGTTCCCTTCTTTCTGCTATTGTCTCTCCATGTATTTGTTTTTAACTATCTGTGGTTTAGAGAAAGACAAGTTAGAAGAGTTCTATTTGTGTAGCAGGCCTTAACCAAATGAACTTTTTTGTCCCTGCTGAAAAGGTACTTCTGAGGTTTTTGAATATCCTCCAGAATTGTGCGGACTATGGGGCAGAGGGCTGGAGAGACAATGGACACAAATCAGAGAGATAACACCCCTCTGTGTGAGGAGAAATGCCTTTTGCTCATTTGAACAGTGTACTGGATTCCATCTTATATCTATCAACTTCTGCCCTTATACATATTTTACTTTGACTCTTAAACTGCAGAGATGAACTATTAACCAAGCCAAAGCAGCTTCCTGAAAAGTACTTTCTTCCTCCGACCCCACCTATTATATTACCCATGCAGATCATGCTGGCTCCTCTTCAGAAAAGATTCAAGTATCACTTTACAGGAAATAGACAAACCAATGTTTTAAGCAAGGTATGGTGGTAGTTGTGCAGACCTTTTCTAAAAATAATCAGAGCAACTGTTTAAAGACATATCTCAGTGAGGGTTGCTGCTTGTTTGAATGATTGGAATGGGACATGTAGGGGCCTGTTCCATAGATGTTTCTGACTCCTTTCTTGGATTTTTGGCTTATGGAGCTGCGGGTTGAGCGGGGGGGATGAGCAGTATCCTATGCATTGTCCAGTAAAAGGTGAGCCGACTCCTGCATACAGTGAATTGGCTAGTGAGCAAATAGATCAGTGGTGAATCAGATCTACTTAGCTCACCCATATGTCCCTGCTGAATCCTTGTGGGGTTTGCACCGTAATATTTGCAGTAGAGCATTCAGTATTGTAGTAGCCATCCTCTGATATGCACTCTCCACTGACATTACACATGTGGCTTTGGTTTGGTCTTTATTCACCTGATTAAGACCTTCCTCTTTCTGCAGGGTCAAATTAGTTATAGTTTAATTGTTGAGCATGGCTTATTTTATTATGTTATATGATTGTGTTAACTGCTTCAATTGTATAGGACACCAGTTAAATTTTTTGGGACTCAGTGTTAGAGGGCTCTGGATGAGCCCAGTAGGTTATAATGTAATGTATGCTCACGCGCAGTACAATCCTGTAGCTGTCAGGTGCTGGCAGGTAGCCTTAGGGTTTTTCAGAAACCCAGCTATGAGGTCAACAAATCACTCTTAAGACAGTAGTTGGTCCTCTCTGAGCTCAGAGCCATGTCCCTCCTTCCCGGCCAGTGCAGAAAGAGCTGGGCTGGTTACAAGAGTGACTTTGGAGATGGGTTAGGTGTGTGGACAGGGAGGGAAGAAACAGGTTGCCACCATAACACAAATTATCCTGGCAGTGCCTCAGCCTCTTCTTCTTGCACTTTGAGGCATCACACTTAGATGGACAAAATTGGCCATCTAAGTGCTTGGCAAGGTGGCGGGAAGAGGGCAGAAGCAACCTTTGTCCCTGTCCTCCACTCTGTATTGTGTGACAATAATTCTGTTAAGTTTGGAAGGTTACAGAAGTCTAGATCCAGTTGTGCCCATAGTATAGTACTGCAATCTGGGAAAAATACTTTATCTTTTGACCTAGCAACATGCTGCTTGTTTTTCTCAAAAGTATTATTATTCATTCCTTCTTCAAAAGCCTGAATGGTACCTAACACAGGTACTTATGTGGATTGGAAATCATGCAAAGTTTCTTGAAGAAAAAATCCAACCAATATTAAACAAGGCTGGCTCAACTGTGAATGCAAGGGTAAGCACCTGTAGTCTTCTTAATATATTGGTAGCCATTATCTTAATAAACCCAGTACCCTGTATCTGCAGTTTTCATCTTAAATGAGCTGTTTATCTCTTCTTAAGCTGGAGTTTTCCCGAGCTTTGGTGATGCTGATCTTAGAGAAGTTGGCTGCTGATATCCCATGCCTGTTGTATGATGACAGCCTCTTCTGTCATCTGGTGGATGAAGTACTCCTGTTTGAGAGAGAGCTGCACAGTGTACATGGATATCTCAGTAGCCTTCCCAGCTGTATGCACATTTTATCAGAAGAAACCTTTTTTCAAAGATGGCTAACAGTAGAAAGAAAATGTAAGCTGCTATGGAGTGATATCCTTTATTAAAAACAATCCCAACTCTCTTACCTTGGGGAATAATTGCATGGGACTTGTGAGTATAAGAGTTATGCTCCCAAATATTTGCATTTGGGGTAGGAAATAGTGTGCCATTTTTCTGTATTGGACACTCACCATCCTTCTTGTCACTTCTGCTTGAATGTCGCATTCTTTTGGTGGGGAGAGGGGTGTAAGTACATGCCATAAAATCTTACTGCAGTATTTCTATTACCTGCCCATCCCCAGTTGGGAAGTATAAGAATTATAATCCAGCAGATCTAGAGGACCAGATTGGAGAAGGCTTTTAATCCATAATAGGGAGGGTACAGCCTGTTTTCTAGTGGGGGGTTGGGCCACTAGAGGGCAGAATATAGTCGAGGAATATTAATTTTCATCAATTATAGTACAGAAGAGCTCAGTCTCACTGTGATGGGTCTAGAGTAGTTAACAGTATCCATTAATGAAAACTGTATGATGGATTTTGGGCTGCTGCAATTAACTCTAGGGTAGTACTGCACTTGCTAAAGGACACACTTCTGCAAAGGACGCTTAGCAATTTCTTTGCTACTGCAGAGCAAATCCCTGAGGGGAGTAGCAGAACAAGACCATAGTTTCCCACCAGACTGAAATGGCTGCCTTTGTTTTCTTGACAAATCTGTGTTCATACTTCTGCCTGTGTTTTGTTCTGTTTGCTGCTGCTTTTGAACTTCACTAAGCAGTATTAAAAAGTGAGCTGCTCCAACATGTATCATTTCTCCCTTCTTAGTCATAGACCCCTGATTCTCAGACTTGCAGATGTTAGTTAATATAACATATGCAATTTTGGAAAAGAATGAAATTAAAATAGTAAGAATAATATCAAAGACTTTCTCCAAAAAAGATTGAGGCACAGAAATATCAGTCATTTTAACTTTGGCTAATACATGTGTAGAAGCATAAAGAAAACAGTAGTTCTCTTAATGGTATATGAGATTTTATGGGTATAAGAAAAGTCACTTAATTTCAGGAGGTGTTCATAAACATAGATATTTTGCTATTTGTAGTCATTAGCAAAGTTCCTTCAGTTAATTCTCCCTTGAGTTGAAATAGCATCTATACTTTGACTTGAAATTGCTGTATCTGATATGGAGTGCATGTTTTTCTTCTGAAATATATTTTTAAAAGGTACAATTTGCTTTTCAGAAGAATCTTTGAATACCAAAACAGCTAAGAAGAGTTATAATTAAAATATTTAAATTCATTATTGTTTTTGTATGCCTAATAGTTGCTCTTCAAAAGATGGATTCAATGCTTTCATCTGAAGCTGCTTGGATATCTCAGTATAAAGACATCACTGATGTAGATGAAATGAAAGTCCCAGACTGTGCTGAAACTTTTATGACTCTGCTACTAGTTATCACAGGTAATTATAACATTTTCTGGCATATAGTTTTGGTTCTTGAATAATTCAAAGTCTATTACATACCTTGAATAAGGAAATCAACAAGTTAGTGGCTGTGGCATCATAAAAGGAGTAATAAGTGGAAATGGAATGTGGTTTTCATTAAAAAAAAGAAATGTAGTTCCTGTGCGTAGGGCTTATTTTGTTCTTCTAAGATTAGCACAAAAAGAAACGATCAGACTAGGGATGTACAAGGTATCCGTTTCGGGGTGGGAATCTGTTGGATTCCCTGGGCTTAGCTCCCCTAATTTACATTAAAATGCCAGGAAATATCAGAAGCCAGTTGATTTTACTGAATTGAAAGAGTGACAAACTTACTCTGGATCCAACTAATGTATTCTTAGGTTGATACCCATTTTGTTAAGGATGAATACTGAGCTACAGTGTTCTCAAAGATGAATTTAGCCATGGTGCATACCCATCCAGCAGCAACCTTCCTTCCTTGGCCCTATAATCTTTGGAAACCTCTCCATTTGCTGACATGGAAGCCAAGCACCCCTCCCCGCACTGCAAATGAGAATATGATATTTCCTTTAACTAAATCAGAATCAGATCTCATCTGTCTGATGTTCCAGACTCCTCTTCAACTGCCATGTAACTTCTTCTGGCACTTATCAATGCTTTTATTCCCTTCCTTTTACCCATCATTTAACTTATACACTAACTGCGTAACCCCTGCACCCTTCAATTTTTTTTCCAGAACATGTTTATCACAGAAAGAAAGCAAGAAAAGGGGATGACTCTACCATTCCTGACAAGATACCCCCATAAGAGTGCAGTGGAGAAATGAAAGCTGGCTTGTGTATCTCAGCTAAATAGGTTTGCAGCCTGTATTGCAGTTGCTGTTTGGGTTTTTTTTTTTCAAAATACCCTTCTCTGGCATTGCAGAGAACCTGTAAAATGTGTTGACTTCTGCACACCTGGCACAAACTTTTATGAGGACATTGTGCATTAGGTTTCTTGTAGACCATTCCCATTGCTTGAATAGAATAAAGTAAAAGTAGGCCTGTAGGAAGATCCAGCTTAAGAGAAAGTTATTTTGTTAAAAAGTAGGTATTGCATGGGCCTTTAAAATATAAACAAGTTAATTACCAAATTTCTTGCCATTTTATGCACAGATAGGTATAAACATCTTCCTACAGCTGCTAGAAAGCTTCAGTTCCTAGAGCTGCAAAAGGAGTTGGTGGATGACTTCAGGATACGACTAACTCAGGTTATGAAGGAGGAGACCAGAGTGCCATTAGCCTTCCGATACTGTGCAATCCTTAATGCTGTCAACTACATCGCAACTGTACTAGCAGACTGGGCTGACAATGTTGTAAGTATTTTCAAATCTTGGTTTCCATTTGTGAAGTTCTAATATATAGAGATATTTTTAAGAATAAAACCACCACTTTTTCATCTCAGTATAGAACAAACAATGCAGTGATTACTAGAAACCAACATGGATTTCTCAAGAACAAATCCTGCCAGACTAATCTGATTTCATGTTTTGATTGTGTAACCTCCCTGGAATGTGGAATGTGGGAACGCTATGGACATAAACTGACTGTAGCACAGCTTTTAACAAAGTGCCCCATGATATCCTGATTAGCAGACTAGCTAAAAGTGGGCTAGAAGGAACAATGATCAGAGCTGGCTACAGAATGGGACTCAAAGGACACTCATCAACAACACCTTCTCAAACTGGGGAGAGGTAACAGGTAGGGTATCGCAGGGTAGTTCTGGGTGCTGTGCTCTTCAACATTTTCATTAATGACTTAGATGAGGAAGTGCAGGGGATGATGATCAGATCTGAAGATGATGCAAAACTGGGTGGGGATAGCTAATACTCTGGAAGACAGAAAGAAGGTACAAGGTGATCTTGATAGGTTGGAGCCATGGGCTGAAAACAGCAGAATGAAATTCAATAGGGACAAATGCCAAATTCTGTACTTACAAAAAAGAAACCAAATGCATTGTTGCACAATAAGGAATACCTGGCTCAACAATTCTGCAAGTGAGAACAGTCTTGGAATTGTAAATCACAAGCTGAATGTGAGTCAATAATGTGACATGGCTGCAGAAAGGGCAAATGCTATTTTAGGCTGTACTGATAGAAGTTTAATTTCAAAATCATATCAAGTATTAATTCCCCTTTACTCAGCACTGGTTAGGCCTCACATGGAGTACTATGTCCAGGTCTGGATGGAAAGATGCAGACAAGCTAGAAGGGGTTCAGGGGAGGGCAACAAAGATGATCCAGGGACTGGAAACAAGGCCCTATGAGGAAAGATTGAAAGAACTGAGCATGTTTAGTCTAGAGGAGATATGATAGCACTCTCCAGGTACTTGAAAAGCTGTTACAAAGAGAAAAGACAGGGTTTCTTCTCAATCATCCCAAATTGCAAGATGTGGAATAATGGGCTCAAGTTACAGGAAGCCAGATTTTGCCTAGATATGAAGAAAAATCTCCTGACTGTTAGAGCAGTATGACAATGGAACCAATTACCTAGAGAGATTGTGGGATCTCCCACACTAGAGGCATTCAGGATGCAACTGGACAGCCATTTGCGAGGGATGGTTTAACTTGGAATCCTGCACTGAGCAGGGGGTAGGACACGATAGCCCTCTGGCCCCTTCCAGCTGTACTATTCTATGCACTATTATTATGTCGGAAAAGCAGAAATTTAGGACACAATCTTATGTCTGTCTAGAGAGAGAAAAACTCTAGAAGAACAGCTGGCTGAAGAATGCTGGGAGTTGTGGGGCTTTTTTTCTGCCAGTATAAGTATACATGAGAATTGCACCCTCAATTGCATATTTTCAAAACCCAATTAAATTGTTGTAATCTTGGGACCACAAACTGGAATGATTCATGTTATTATTCAGACAGCCCTTAAATGTATAAAAACCTTTGGTGGCAGTGCTTATAGTTGGAGATTTGTGTCTGTGTAGTTTTTCTTGCAGCTTCAGCAGGCTGCTTTGGAAGTCTGTGCTGATAGCAACACACTAAGTAAGCTACAGTTAGGACAGCTGGCTTCTATGGAAAGCTCTGTCTTTGATGACATGATTAACCTCCTAGAGCGACTAAAACATGATATGCTGACTCGTCAAGTAGAAAATGTCTTCAGGGAGGTCAAAGAGGCTGCCAAGTTGTACAAAAAAGAGAGGTAATGTTTGTTTCTTCCAGTTACAATTTTTAATTCATATTTACATGTTAGAAAAGGAGAGTCGGGGGGAAAGGGGGAATTAAAAGATGATTAGTGATGTGCAAGGAATCAGGCTTGGGGGTGGAAAACTTTGAGATTTCTTCAGCTTAGTTCCCTGGATTCTGGCCCACTTTTTCTCTACCCTGAGTTCATCTTGCGGACTTGATCTCAGCTCAGTTTCCTTCCTGGCTAGAACTGAGCATGGGAAGAAGTCTGGCAAGTGCAAGAGAACTAGATTCTGGACAGATCTTTGCATACCTAAAGATAATTTTGTTAAAGTACCAGTTTTATAAAGCCTAGACTTGTGGAATATATCTGATGAAATGGTTAATTTTGTTCAGAGTAGTTTTATCCTGAAAGTGGGGTGATAATGGCTATTATTGATATTGACTAATCCAGTACTCACATATTGACTGGGTTCATATGGTCCTAACAGCCCACTGTGGCTTAAAAGCCATGATGGATTAGTGTGTGATCCAAACTTCTTGTGGTTTTGTCAGAGTGGCTTAATCTTGGTATATAAGCTATCCTGACAAGCCATGATTTGTTCTACGGGAATTCTAGCCATGCTGGGTTGGCACAGCATCTCAGTGTAGAGAACTGAAGGGATTGGCTAGTGAGCCTCATGACAAGAGCAGCAAATGCTCTTGCAGGTCTTTCCATGGGACTTCTGGGTGTGTGCCGCTGCCAGCCACCACCAAGGTGCCCACACAGCACTTGGGGGTGGCTGTCACAGGTTCCATCATTAGGTCTGCAGCTTTTTTCCTGTTATACATTTTTTTCCCTTCAAAGGTGACAAAACATGGTCTAGCCAGCTTTTGTGATCCCCCCATGAACAGCCACAAGCACCCCCTTCAAAGTGTCTCTGTGGCACATTGAAGGGCTGTCCGTAACTGTCCAGCATTATTTTTTTACTAAATAATCAAATAATCATTTAAATTTATTATTTATTAAATTTAATCATACTAGCATAAATGTGCTTGTTTGCTCAGCCATAACTGCACTGATCTCAAGCCCTCACAGGGACAATGGCCAAGTGGCAGCAGGTACCCCATCCTAGCTATTTCCCAGAAGAAGCTCAAATTACATTCCCCTCACTTCCTTGGTTTCTGTTGTCAGTGCACAGGATGCAAGGTGTCAAGTGAATACCACACCATGGGGGATCTTTGCCTGAGAAGGATGTATTTTTCAGGCTCAGGGCCAAGTCCAAATTTGCTGCTCTGTGGAAGCTAAAGGGTGGGGGAGAAGCAAAAAAATCTTGCTGAAAATGATGTGCAAATTCTGAAGACCACCTTCTCAAGGAACTCTCATGGCTTGGTTTTCTCTTGACAGGGCCCTGTGGTCACTGCAGGGAGTGGGTGAAATCCTCTCTTCCCTTGATGACCTGTGGCATGTCACCCAGGGGAAGGGAGGACACCCATTTCTCACAATGTGCCTGAGAGTCAGGGAGGGTAGCTTAAAAGGTGTGGTTTCTCATGCTGTGGCAAACCTACCCATTGTGAAAGTGACCATATTTGTAGAAAAGCTGTCATGTGGGAAATATATCAGTATATGTGTATGAATTGATCCAGTATTATTGTAATGCTCCTCTTGAAAACTTAGTGTTCAAGAAGTGAGTTAATTAAAACCTTATGGACATTTATGCTTTTATTTTAAACAAGTCATTGTGGTCTTATAGTCAAGCCACTTTAGTACATTAAGACTCTCTTCTGTCTACCACTCTTTCCCATTGTAAATATGATAGTCATATGTCTTTATCTGGAAGCATCTCATTTGATAGTTGACCAAGGGGGAATGGGATAACAGATTCATCTGAACGTTAACAGTTGAAACAGATATAATGCCAAGGTAATACCATCCATGCTAAAACACATAGGCATATTTTGAGTATGCAGTGGTAGAAGCTGAGGTAATTTGTTTCTTTTAGGTGGCTCTCTTTGCCATCCCAGTCAGAGCAAGCAGTAATGTCCTTGTCAAGTACTGCCTGCCCACTGCTGCTGACCTTGAGAGACCGGCTGCTACAGCTGGAGCAACAGCTTTGCTATACATTGTTCAAAATTTTCTGGCAAATGCTTGCAGAGAAGGTGGATTTGTTCATCTATCAGGAAGTAAGTATCTGTTAGTGTGTTAATATTTCTATAACAAAAATGTAAGTCATTTTCAAGATAATATACTTGTTCCTGTTGTGTTATATACAGATAATTCTGGCTAATCACTTCAATGAAGGAGGAGCAGCACAACTCCAGTTTGACATGACAAGGAATCTTTTCCCTTTATTTTCACATTACTGCAAGAGGCCAGAGAATTATTTCAAACAGTAAGTAAGGATGTCTTAAGTTCTCATTTGTTTTAGAAATTAAACATCAGGACAAAGTATTACTGTTTTGTGAAAAAAGAAATTGAATAACTTCCTTACCCTTTATTTTCTGAACCCTTTCCTAAGAGAAGGAAAAGAGAACCTCTTTTTACCTGAGGACAACATGTGTTAATGGGTGCTGGATAATGGATTGTGTGTGTGTACATGTTCCATTCCCCTCCCCCACCCTAAAATGCACACAGATTTTTAGTGCACTGGGATCCCCCTGGGTGTGAGCATCATGTAAGTGACAGGGAGTGCTAGCCTGACTTTCAGAGGCATTCTCTGTTGCGGTGAAGAAAGGCAAACCCCTTCTCCATTCCAGTGTGTGTGGCTGAGAAGGACAGTGTTTCCCTGCTGGGGTAGAGAGGGCACAAATGTGATGGGAAGGAAGATACACAAAAAGTATCATTTCTGTGTACTTGCCCATCACAATCATCTTCCTTCTCTTCCCAGAGTCTGGCAAACAACTGAGTATGTGTTTGCAATGGGTGGGTGAATGGATTCATGAGCTTGAACGTCTTCTCTAAGTTTCAAACTACAACTTCATTGCATTTTTTGCAGCATAAAGGAAGCTTGCAATGTACTGAATTTAAATGTTGGCTCAGCCCTACTCTTGAAGGATGTACTCCAGTCAGCTGCTGAAAACAGAACTGAAACCATCTTGAATTCAAGCCAGCCCACTGCAATTGCAGCATTAAATGAACTTGGAATTTACAAATTAGCTCAACAGGATGTGGAGATTCTTCTTAACTTGAGAACAAACTGGCCTATTACTGGAAAATAAGCAAGTAATAGAATAGAAAGACTAATCGCTCTTGCATTCTTAAAAGCAAACCCAACATCTCTGTGTTGTAGGTTACAATTGCATAAAAAAAGAAAAGAAAAAAGAGGGGAGGTTTTTTAAGCAAAGATGAAATAGTTGTTTATATATCAGTTTTAAAGATACAGTTGTCAACTGATAAAGCACAGTTGATCGATCATATTGTCCATTTATAATAACCAACTGGGAGGTGTTCCTGTCAAGTTCCAGTGTGGCAAATACCATTTCTCATCTGTTACCCTGTGTTAAGTGAAATTCTGTTCTGTAGAGAGTACACTCTAAACCATACCCTATATGGGACAAGCCTATTATAGGAACAAATTGGGAATATTTCGAGAGTTTTTGAGAACTGTATAATTTGTGTAAACAAGAGCGGAGTTGCTCCCCCATATTGACTTTGTGCACCTCAGACTGGTCTACAGCTATTCCTAAGGTGTCTCAAGTATTATTTTTCCCATACTGTATGAGAGCCCTGAGCCATTACACCATATGAGTACTGTGCTGAGTGGTCCCCTATCAAGACTGTGGTCCTCAAAGATGCTGTACTGATGAAGTGGTACAGAATAACTGGACCCTATTTCATTGTTTAATGGCCATAATAATTAAAATGTATGAACAACCATTCTACATTTCACCCAAGCAGTAGGCTAATTTCTAACTTACTTATAATACACGTAATTTGAATAATGATTTGACACTAAAAGGGCCGGTTGTTAAAGTTGCAATGTAAATATGGAAAGGGAAGATTATACTCTCCTTGTTTTCTCTAGAGGTGGAAGTCATAATAAATCTCTCTTGCCATAATGATGACACAGTAATACCACATTTGGATATGTGTCATTAAACGTTTATGATGGAAAAAACTTAGAACCAATTTTTTTTAAAAATTATATCTCTTCATTTAAAGTAAAATAGACTACTATACTGGTTAGTTTTGACTATAATAGGCTCAGCATTTATTAGATAAAGGAAAAATTACTTAAAAGTATTTCAGCCTTTATGAAACATAATAAAATTACACATCTGCTGTAATAGTGGTACAGTTAGTATCTCTGAATAGGGCCTATTTTTTCATAAGGGAAAGTATGAAATTTTAGATCAGAACTCTCAAGGTTAAAATGCTGCCCACAGTTCAGCAAATTTTTTCATCCTATGGAGAAAAAAGACACAGTAATTATATATAAATTATTGCATCTAATTTATAGTTACACTGATATTTATAAATCCACACATCCAAAATAAAGTGGAAAACCAATTAGTAATTCATTGTTACAGTGAACAAAAAACATGTGCTAATGCTTAAATTTGCCCTGGACTTTGGTCACTGTATATTCTCTTTGGATAGTGTTCTCCCAACAAATAAAAAATAATTAAAAAATCAAATCTTCTGTCTACTTTTATTGGTGTTGCTTATTTGAGCCACAACATAGTTTTTCCCATAGTAGTGTAGGTGTTCTCTAAAGTTAACCCCTTTCAAATCCCATTATACATCTGCCATTGAAATAAAGCACTTATTTACCTCTCAATGAAATAAGTGCAACTAACTGTAGCTGTTCAATGTACAAAGCTGTATAATAACACTAGTGTAAAAGCTTGTTGGAAAGACTGGGAAGAGGTATCATGCAAGCTCTGACCTACTACACAGTGAAAAAAGAGCATTGCTAGTTGGTTAAAAATGATTCTGGATGGTGCAGGGATCCACTAGCCTTCAACCTCAAAGCCTACAAATACTGGATTTTAGGCAAATGTGCCCCTTCAAACATTATGCCAAGATATGTGCACTGGGAACAGGACCAGTGGCATGAGTACAATGGAGTAGGCAGATACACTTAAGGAGCAATTAAGGTATATATAGTCTGAGCCAGCCCAATGTGGCATGAAGAACAGAATGTCTAAACCTCCTTGTAACATTAATCAGTTATGTTCCAGTTCAACTTACACATCTTGCTTGAAGACAATTGGTGTAATTAGATCAGTTTCTTTATAAATTTCATCTTGACTACTCAATCCCAAAGATTCAAGTGCTAAAGTAGAGATAAAATAAAAACTACTTATAAAGTGAATGATGCAACGCAGACAGCTTAGCTCCTTATATTCTTGGCTCTTACCGTGGATTCTTCCAGTTCCTTGATTCTAACTGTTGCAAGATATTGAACTGCAAGACCTAGTACCCTAATCATTGGCCATGGTGGGTGGGACTAATGGGAACTGTAGTCCAACATCATCTGGGAGCTTGCAATTGTGAACCACTGATTTAGACAGTACTGACTGGAAGTAAATCTCAGTTTGGGTATATGCATATCTGTCCCTCATAAATGGATGGTGGAACAATTTATACTGTGCTGTATTGTATTTATTTAATAGGGACCTCCTTTGTGATCCATCTGTAGATTAAAAGAGTAATGGACAGTTGATCAGATTAGTCCAATCTTGCATTCAAAGACATATAAAGTACAGCACATTTCATGTTATTTCTCCATGTGGCAAAGATAAGGAGGCATGTGGAAAATATTAAAGAGATTGTAACTTAGCTGTCTATAGAATGTATTATCTGACCAGAGCTCTTCCCATATCCAAAATTTCACAAACAAGGCCTTTTCAACATTTGTAACACCTGTCATGAGGAATTTGTATTGTGTGAGGAAGGGAAAGCTGCAAGGAAAGGAACTGAGGTATAACACCCTCTATGTAATTACCCTCGTTGGCTTTTCTACTCGTAGAAACTGCACTGGGTACAGATATTGCTTGTATCCTTTTCTCAGCATAACAAAGTGCTTTCAGCCAGAGGGGGACAGAAATGTTTCCAGTGAGATGGACAGGCTTATTCACCTTCCTTCCTGTTGTACTTGTTCTACCCAATTGGAGAAATACTTTTGTTAAATTCTAGCTGTTCTACCCCAAAAGCCAGGAAATCCTAAGAAAGTCCCACAACACACCATTATAGGGATGTTACCCCTAAGTGCACATTTTCCCCAGTGGCTTTTCCCTGCTATTCATGAGAATGCAGGCTTAATTGGAGCACTGTGAGTTGCACCTTGCTTGATAAGGCTACCCAGGGATGTACTGACTTGGTAAGAAAGGGCAAAAATGATACGCTTTAGAAATTGTATAGTAAATACATAAAGGGGCTTAACTCATTAAATTTTTCTGTAGACTGAACCAAGAATATTCTTGAAGTTTTGTTTTTGAAACATTCTAGTTTTTTGTTGTTTCCATCCTTTAAAACACTGCTGTCTAAAAGTGAAAAGTTCATGAAGGAATACCAACCTCCTTTGTACTGTGCTAAACTTATGTAGCCTTGGCCTGCAACATCCAGCATTTCAAACATAGCATCCAAGTTTGATTCATCCATAAGATTGGGATATTCCATACCGGTCAGTTTTGCAAACTTTATTTTTTCCAAGGTCTTTATCAAAAACTCTCTTGGCCTATCTGAGAGAAAAGAACATTGACCATATTGTTATATAGTTTAAACATTTTTTTCATCAAAAATCTCAGACTTGCAATAGAAATGATACAAAAATGACACAAAGGTGAAAACTTCGGATAGAGAAGAGGAAAACACTAGTACCCAAACCTTTCAGTTACACAGAAAATCAAGCAGATTATAGAATAGCCAGAGGTGAACACAAATTGCACCTTGTCCTCCAACTGATGAAATAGGGGTCTTGTTAATTCTTCAGGGGCAGCTGGACTTAGCATTTTGCTGCATTTATATCCGGCTTTTTTTCCTCTTGTGAGGAAAAAGTTAAATTAGTAATTAGAGTGGATCGTCAATTTATTTATGCTGTTAGCCGTCCAGAGACATTAGTGATTGGATGGCATAAAAATTTTATAAATAAATAACACTGTTATGGAAAATTAAGCATTTGCACTAAATTATTATTTTCATAGTCCTAGGTGCACAGTAAAATAACAAATATTCTAAAACTAATATATGACAAAAATAGTGCACCAAAGAACATTTGTCTGCCATTTTTACCTTATTTGTGCAGTCTAATTTGTTTGCAACTTAGGAACTGGTACAATAGCAAAAGGACTAAAATGTCAGAGAGAGAGAGAGAGAGAAGGTGTTTCAGAACCAGAGGATCCTAGCACCACCAGTCAAAAGTTATTCTGCAGCTATCCTGTCTTTCTTGATGTTTTTGTTTTGTTTGAGATAAGAAATGGGAAAAATGGAAAATGCAGATGACTGAAATGACATAGGTTACGTTTCTGGATATCCTGTAAAATGCTTTGTATACGGCCAGGCAAATGCACAATAAAAGGCTAATCTAGAAGCACTGAAGAAGGCAGATGAGGAATTCTCTCTCTCTCTCTCTCTCTCTCTCTCTCTCTCTCTCTCTCTCTCTCTCCACACACACACACACACACACACACACACACACACACACACACACACAGAGTGGGGGACAGGAGTGTTCTCTCCTCTTGCCATGCTACAATAATTATCAACAGGATAAAACTACAACACAATATAAAGGGGCATTTTATGACCAGGTATAATCATAGCCATTTAATAACATAATTTAGGGTTAGAGTTGGAAAATGCCAGTTAACTATATTATTATTAGTAATGGCACTATATTGTCATACACCATACTTTCTGTCTCTGGAGCAGAAAGGGGAAGCATGTTAACTTTGAAATTATTCAAAATCATCCCTACTATGGTATTCCTGATCACTATGTATGGGTTTGAAACCAAGACGGTGAAAGATGACAAGAAGAAATCTGATGCACTCAAACTATGGTGTTGGAGAAAAGCAATGGGAATACCCTGGACCCAGTAGAAAAATGAACAGGTGTGTTTTATATCAAATGAAATCAGAACTTGCCTTAGAAGCAACAACAATGAAACTGAAGCTGTTCTGCTTCAGGCACATCATGAGAAGGCAAGACTTGCTGGGGAAGAAGCTGCTGTTGCTAGGGAAAGTCAAAGGCAGAGGAAGAGGAAGAGGAAGAGGAAGACTGAAGAAAACCACAGCCTTGCATTTACAAGGGCTAAACAGGGCTGTCAAGGACATTTTGGAGAGCATTCATCAGGAGGCCTGCAGGTAGCGACGACAGTGCAAGGAAGCTGAAATCCTATATTTATTTATTTATTACAAGCATTTATATCCCGTCCTTCCGTGGAAGCACTCAGGACAGCTTACATAATATAAAATTCTAAAATGCAATAATAAAACTAAAATATTAAAACATTTAAAATTGAACATATGAACTAAGAAAAAAAAAGGAAACTAAAATAGAAAGTGCGACTGTGAAACAAACAGATGCAGAAAAACTTAAAATATCTAAAACCCTTAATTGTTAAAATGATGGTTAAATAAAAAGGTCCTTACCTGGCGCCAGAAGGAGTATAGCGTCGGCGCCAGGTGGACTTCTCTGGGGAGCTTCTGAGCTGGAAGTAAGCCTCACTAAGACTGGTGGCAGTTGCTTTTTAGTAGACAAAGTAGGAGTGCAAGGTGTCTTCATAAAAAATATGAACACAAATTGAGTATCTAATCAATATGGACAAAGATCTCCAGATAATGCCCTTCTCTATAAGCTACGAATGGGAGGCGAACCCATACGTCCACCACACCCACTCCGTTATTTCCTTACGCGCAGCACTGTACTTTTAAAAGCTGCCCCACCTGAGAGCGCTGCCTGGGCAAGGAGCGGGCTGGCAAACTCCCACGGACGACTCCCCGCTCCTTTTGAACGCGCACTGTTCGCACCAGAGGGTGGTGGCAGAGAGCTACCGCCTCCGAGCGAGCTTCTCCAGGGCAAGAAAGCTCACCCCGCGGTGTCGTTCGTCTGGCCGCATACTCCCGGCTAGGAAGACTTACCTGGTCGGTGATACAGCAGCAACGCGCTCAGGTGATACAGAAGCTCAGGGATTTTGTGCTGCGCCAGGTACTCGCGACCTTCCACTTCTCGGTCCATCGCCGTTGCTAGGAGACAGGAGAACACGCTCTAAGACCCACGCCTCGCGAGGAAGTGTCACGTGACAAAGGGATTTCACCAATTAGGAGGCCGACCAATTAAGTCGCGAGCTCTTGAGTTCACCTCTGCAGCCAATGGAGCGGTGCGTGTTCTCGTTCGCTTGGGCTCCGGTCTCTCCCTGGCAGAGTAGTGGCGGCCTCTCCTCGTCCCTTTCCTTCTCCGCTCCGTATTCGAGCTTCGGTGCTTTTCGGAGCCCTTGTCTTGCCAGAGGGTGCCGTCGTTGCCTGCTGCATTCCTGCATGCCAAACCTGCCTTTTTCTGCAGTCAGAGCAGCGGACGGCTTAGTCGCGACGGGCAAGACCCTTTGCGGTGGGGGCCTATTCCAAAGGCCTGTTATTGCCCCAAGCGAAAAGGAAGCGTCGCTGTGCCGGGCTCGCGCCTTGTGAGGGCGGCGGCTGGTCCCCGCGTCAGTGCGGGCCCTCTTGCATCTGCTCCGTGTGAACCGAAAAAAGGTGTCGGGATTGCAAACCTGGAAAATCCCTAGGTATCAGTGAAAGTTCGGGGGCGGGAGATGACTGTGAGAGCGCGCAGGCTTGTGCTCTGCCCGACCCTTTTCCGAGTTGTTCAAATTCTGACTGATGACTGAACTACTGATGGGAATGTGGCCGTTAAACACAGCAATAACATTTATGCACCCTTTACCACATGAGGCACCAAACTGTGCGGCTATTATTCTAGTCCACTATAACGCATATTTTACACTGCCTTTTTCATTTAATGGCGAACATTCTCTTTGGGCTTGACATCACTACACCAAACAACATTGGAAGATACCGGTTTTCTCTCATCCCACTTAAGAGATGAATTAGGGAGGCCTCTCAAAAGCTGTGAGAAAACAGCCTACTGGTAAACTTGAGCAACTGCCACTTTTGCTCCCAGGACTGCCCCTCACAGGTTGCACTGGAAACAAACAAACAAACAAACAAACAAAAATAAATAAATAAATAAATAAATAAAAACCTCATTTGCAGATGAAATTCATTGGCAAAAAGGGATAATTTAAGCAACATCTTTTATTTCAGCGCTTTATAGTCATGAGATAGCATTTGATTTAACTGTTGGAGTTACTTGTTTTTAACTGCTTTTTCCTTTTTGTCTTTCCTTTTTTAAAGTTTTTGGAGACAGTGCATGGAAGGGGACACTGTGACCAGCCCTGGCCTAGATTCTCTAAATCAAGGTCAGAACCTCTGGAAAAAAACAAGTTATAAAGTGAGGATGTTTCCCATCTATCAGCAGATTCTTGCGTAGAGGGCAAAAAATGGAAATGTGTATAGAAACCTATTTATCCATGTGTACTGCTTTTTGCTACATCAGTGATATTTTAATCCCATAAAAATGTAGTTAGCATAAATACTAAGCAGGCTAATATAACTAGTGAAGGTTTTGCATGAAGTGCTGTGTAGATAAAATTGTTACTTTTTTGAAAAGCTAATAAAACGGTGCACAGGTCTTTCTTACAAACATATAAATTATTTTATTTACAAAGCCATGTTACAAAAAATAATAATAAAGCAAGAACCAAAATAGAAACCCAAAAAACAAAACAAAAATACAATCGCTCACTAGAGAATATCTCCAGGCCTGGTGTTAAACCATGGCAGTATCAGTCAGATACACGTTTGTTCCTTTTTTCAAAACTGTAAGCCATAAAGTTTACTATTTACACCTACTTTTGACACTTACAATTATCACAAGCATGGAATGGGTTCTCTCTGATACTGCTAATACATAAAAGGTGCAGAACCAAGAATGAAAATACTTAGTGTTATAAAATATGGGTTTGTAGAAAAGAAATAGACTGTACACGTATGGCATTTTCTTTTAGAATGATTGGACATGCTTTCTTCAAAAGTCTTCTGGAAAAAGATTCTAAAATCTGTAGTAGGAAAGCACAATAGAGGAGGTGCAAATTTATTTCTGTGCAACAGTTAATATTCCCCATGACTGACCAGCTATGCAAAACCCACAGAGTTTTGTTAAAGTGCCATGGGTCAACAGCATAACAAAATATAAGGTGTAAATAGAAAAATTTCTTTTTTTCTTTTAAACAATAGTTCACTGAGAATCAGCAATAATAGAATATGCTGTATAAACTATTCTCTACAAAGGTTGATCAGCACTATGTACAATTGTTAACATTGATACAAAAGAAGGCATACAAGTTATCCAAGTCGCTTTTTTTTTTTAAATATGGCTGACGGGCCTATGCATTGCGTATGTGTAACAACCAAAGCTTCTGAGCCTCTATTGCTGGAAAACGAATCACAAAGTCTTCAGGCAAATGGGGGAGGGGGGAAAAATAACTGCTGAATTAATGCTACGATAATAATACATTATAGGCTGGTCCAGTTCATATCCATTTTCAAAACTGCATTTAATTTTTCAAGCAGAACATTTTAGTACATATAAAATTAAATAGTATATTTTTTAAAAAATGTGGGCAACAAAAGTTATGTGGGGTGATTTTCTACTTAGGTTTTCAAAATGCTCCAAATCAAACCAAAGCACTGAAAGTGAAAAGATACATATGTAAAGCAGCATTCAAAGAATACTCTCTACAGTCCAGATTCCTACAAAAAAGATGCAGTTGAGAGCTAAGAAATTCTTAACACTACTGAATTGCTCCTTCAGTCACTGAGTGGCTTTAAGTGTCAGAAGCAGCCACTGAATCTGTCTATCACTGTTTTCCCCTCCAAAAGAAGAAAATGGCAGTTTTCTAATCAGAGGGTGTTCTGTTACTGAGATTTGAAAACACAAATTGTGTTATACAACACAAAATAAATTAGTTTAAAAAAACCAACAAGGTTCTGTTCCTACAACTGAAGACAAAAATTGTGCAAAAATAACAAAGATATGTACACATTTTTCAGTCTGAAGAAATGTACAATAAAACATAAAGAACAAGACAAATATAAACATTGCTTAAACTTTCCTAAGGGTGCAACCCTGTGCACATTTAGTTAGATAAAAGTTCAATCCCCAGCATTCTCTAATCAGCCATGTTGGCTGGGGAATGCTGGGAGTTGTAAGACATTTTTCTGTCTAAACATGCATAGGATTGTGCCCCGAGTTTCATACTGTTTATGAAACTAATCTTGCCTCCCAAATATAGCAAAACATAAATTATTATAAAATTAACACTATAAAATTACTTTAAGAATATCTTCTATTTTCCCCAAAAGGGCCTAGCCTTGTTTACAGATGTTAAACATTTCATAAGTATTAAAATCTGCCTTAAGCCTTTAAAAAAAGAAAGAAAAAAGAAAATAACCATCTCCCTATTTGCATTCTTTCTCCTTTTCCCCAGGATGTAAATAAACCAGCATATAAGTGCACTTTAACACTGTAGAAATAAAACTTAACTCCTCCATAATAATTTTGAAGTACCCTAGTAATATTGATTTCCTGATTACAAAATTTATTTTTTATAAAAAGAATTATTCAGTAATTCCTGTAAAACATTGTCAGTGCAATTCTACTGATGCAAATTCAGTATGCCCAACCCCTGCCTTTTCAAGAACAGTTTGTTTCATTAAGGAGAACAATAGTATGGATTCTTTGGGGCCCTCCATCTACATATGAAGACATTTTCATATAGCACTCCTATTAATTTCAGTAAGAGAAAGATGCATAAACCATTCAATGCATTGGGAGGATTAGGAACACTATAAGAAACAACAGGTGTTGCACACTGAAACAACCTATAGAAGTCAATGAAACTTCTGGGCACACAGTACTCTCCCAGTTGTTAACACATATACTGCTGACAAATGCACTAGGCAATTTTCTGTATCCATAGGACAATAAACAATACAGAAGTTACTGTAAATTTGAAATAAAAAAAGGGTATGTTAATATTTCAACCACAAATCTCATTATTTTGGAATGTCCACTCCTGTTACAGTTGCAAAACACAAAGAGAGGAAAATGCAAATATTAGCATTAAAAGGCATCAATCCAACTCAAACCAGATTGCACAGATTGGAGGCCAAAGTACGTTAGAAATGAAAATAAATCACTATTACAGTTTTATATAAATTAAAAACACCAAAAATTTAAGTTAAGTCTATTTGCAAGACACAGCAAGTAAAACAAGAGACTCTGGAGTAGGGCTCCTAAGACCTAGGGATTACAGGCTGGTTGCTTTGCCTTGTTATGGAAGAGTCCTTATCCTACCAGTCCGGTTTAATGTCTTCTGAAAGAGAAAGTATAAAATTAAATTAATGTATAACAACTAAATAAAATCTAACATTAAAATAAATGTATAAAGTTAAAGCCCATCTCAAAGCAATGAGAAAAATCCCACTGAATACACTTTTTTTGCACTGCAAACTTACTATGTATATAGTGCTGCAAATTCAGACTTTTTTAAAAAAAGGAATTAATTACTTTGAGAAATAAATGTTTTAAATAAATTCTAGTAACATCAGATCCCGCCAAATAGGTTATTTATCAGATAGGGCCTGTTAGTCTTAGAGGAGGTCAAAGACACAAGAGTGCACACATGTTTCATTTGTATTTAGCAGTACCCAAGAAATGTATCTACAGTTGCTGTCAAGTACAATAGTTCCAACTAGCATACACAGTTGCATTAAAATTCTGACTTTATAAAAGCACCGGCCACATTAAAATATCCAGGCTGTGTTAACACTTTTGATTTGGCAGTATGTAGCCCAATCCTAAGCTTGTTTGTTTCAAAGCAAATCCAAACAAATCCAACCAAGTTCACTACTTATAAATGCATCCACGGACTGATAATTAAGACAGGGCAGGGAAGAAATAAGTCTTTGACAAACTTAAACTATATGCTACATATATGGATGGGTAACACAACTTTCTAGTAGATCATTTTAAGATGTACTACAGTTATGGTTGGCCTGAAGTACCCTCTCAGCCAAAATGCACTGATTTCATCTTACCCAGGTCCAGGAGACAGAAGTCTCCCTTTTCAAATGCA